AAAAAAAAAGAAAAAAATAAAGAAAAAAAAAAAAATAAATAAATTAATAAAAAAAAAAAAAAAAATAATAAAAAAAAAAAAAAAAAAAAAAAAAAAAAACGACATTCAACCTAATGAGCTCTATAATTGGGATGAAACTGGCTTTCAACTTGGTATTGGATCTCCTCAAAATATCATTTTAACTTCTCATCGTCAAAATGAGACTATTGGAACTGGAGCAAATTGGTCAAAATGTCACAGGAATTGAGTGTATTTCGGCAGATGGATGGGTAATGCATCCTTGGTTCTTATTTCGAGGAACTGATCAAATGGATGATTGGTATGATGGAGATGATCATCCAGATCACTTCAAGGTTATTAAGCCAATTGCTAAAGGATGGACCGACGATGAGACTGCGATTCAATGGTTATTAGACTTTCATTATGCAACCAAAAAACGCATTACTCGAGGAAGACCGAGGATTTTGTTGATGGATAATCACGGATCTCACACTACCCCCGAATTTGGATATCTTTGTTAATGCTTCAACATTATTCCTTATTGGTTTTTACCAAAATTAACTCATCGATGTCAACCTCTCGACGGAAATCTTTCTCTATTTTAAAAGCAAAATTTCGACATGCAAATAATGAGTTTGAACGTTGGGAGGGGGGATCCAAGTGACAAACGTGGATATTTGCAATTGATCAAGGATGTACGAAAAGAGACGTTCAAATATGTGACAATTAAGTCTTCATTCAAAGATACTGGACTTTGGCCATTTAACGGAGAGCTTGTTCCAGATCAAATTGATCCAAAATGGGAAAATGAGCCAATAATCCAGATCTGGGGTCATAGTTCAGCTACACCTGACACCGAAACTTCAAGCTCTGCAATCAATTCACCCCCAAATACACGACAAAGATTCTCAAAAATCGAGGATAAATTGACGTCTCTTTTCGAAGATGAAGAGCCAGATCCCCCCAAGATCAAAAAACACGTCAATCGAGTAATTAAGGGTAGAAAACAAGCTGTTGCAGATCTCAACCTTGCAAACGAAACAATCAAAAAGCTTCAAAAACACCGGATACCAAATCCAAAAACCCGTCGAACAATAAAGGGAGCACCAAAATACCCATTATCATCAATTTCCGGCAATTCGAAAACACAGCCCCGTTCTTTGACGGAATCGCGTGTGGACGTTCGATTTGAAGATGGTAGTGCACGAAGAAGAGATTACTGGCGTCACGCCAATATTGCATTAAAAGCGGCGGAATTGGCAAAGGGTAGAACTGATTACATGGATGAAAATGATGAGCTATTTCCTATTGTTGATAAAGATGGTATGGTGGGAGACAAATAGGTTTGAAATTGATGAAATTGAAATTTTGTGTTTTGGCTTTGGCTCACCGATGGTCGTACCCTCCCATCGGTGTTGCTTAGTCACAATTACACACCTTTTTAACTAACCTAAATACAAGGTATTGATACATATTCTTGACTTGACATTTAATTGAAATTTTTTTAAAAAATGAAACCCATCATTCCCAGCCAATGGACGCCCTTTCTACGCTTGGATCTTGTGCTTCAACAATTCCTTCAGAGTGTCTGCGTCCGCTGCAAATTTGGAGATACTCTCGCGCAACTTTTCGACGGCCATCGGATCCTCATTGAGATCAAAACGGAAGAGGGCCTCGTCGTTGATATAGCTGCGTTTTGGAATATCGAGGCTAGTCGTGGCAGTATAGTCGAGCCTTTTGGATACTAGTTTAGTGGAGGTATATAGATCTTCTAAGAGGTTGGGCGAGATGGTTAAGTAGTCGCAGCCGGCTAGCTCGATGATTTCGCCGGTGTTTCGGAAGGAGGCTCCCATGACAATTGTCCTGTAGCCATGGTGTTTGAAATAGTTGTAGATGCTCTGCACAGACTTTACGCCGGGGTCATCTTCCGCAGTGTAGTCACGCTTGTGGGCGGCCTTGTACCAGTCCAGGATTCGACCAACAAAAGGGGAAACCAGGAAGGCATCGGCTTCAGCAGCGGCAATAGCCTGCACAAGCGAAAACATGAGAGTCAGGTTGCAGTTGACGCCATGTTTGGACTGAAGAATGCGAGCGGCCTGGATGCCCTCCCAGGTAGAGGCGACCTTAACCAGGATACGTTCTTTGGGGATACCAATCTCCTGATAAAGCTTGGCAGATAGCGTTAAATTACTCCTTCCATAATCCTCGACTGTGGGTAAACTTGACTACATACCTTGATGATGTGTAAAGCCTTTTTGACGGAGGCCTCGGTGTCAAAGGAGAAGCGTGCATCGACCTCAGTGGAGACCTTACCGGGTATGATTTTGAGGATCTCCTTACCAAACTCAACAAGGAGACGATCTAGGGTTGAATTGACTTGTTCGTCGATGGAATTTCCCTGCTTTTTACCATACTCGATGGCAAGGTCGATAAGATTCGCATACTCGGCCTTTTTGGACGCAGCAAGGATCAGAGAGGGGTTGGTGGTAGCATCCTGCGGTTTGTATTTGTCGATAGCTGTTACAAAAGATGAGTTGGTGTTGAACGGATGACCCTAGCAGTAACTAGGTGGAAAAGACGGGATAAATGATAAGGGCACATACTAGCAAAGTCCCCTAATATCTCATGTTATTAAGCTGTCTTCAAAAGTATCTATACTGAGATCATTCACTTACCAGAGTCACAGACTACGACGGAGCCAGTGGCCTTGAGCTGATCGAGGGAGGAAATCATCGTTGCTGAATGGATTTTGGATGTGATGATACAGAACTTGTGTTGTAGATTGACTTCGTAGGATCAGCAGGAGGAGTAGGTGGCGACAGGATTGATCATATATTTTGTCAGCCGGAGAGGATAGAGGAGTGAAAGCAAAACCCACACAGAGTCTGAAGGTCATATGTTACAAGTAAATCTGTATACAACGTGATGAGCGAATGACGTCATCGCCACTGATACGTCATTTCAGCATCACCAGACCCTTATGGGCGAGGCAGAAAAAGCGGACAAATCAGAACTGTCGCAGTCAGAGAATCTACTATGCCTGCTATCTTTTACAGTACACTTACATTCCCGTGGCGCTCATGGTAGGTCATGGCAGCTCGACTGGGAGGTTAAGTTTAGTGCACCACTTTTAAGCTGCCTAGCTTAACCATTCTCACTCCAACAATCACGTGGAGTCAGCTTAGTTGTACTGATAATGTCAAACAACGCCGGCGATGTCGTCAAAGTTCCGAAAACTCCTGTCTTTGTCGTGCCAAATCTTAGCCGTATTTCCAATCCTCCTGTTTCAATATTCAGAGGTCTGATAGTCTATCTGCCGAAATTGAATTGAGCGTCGATGAGCGTTGATCAGCGTTCATGTGCGTGCTAATATGAGCATCAATGTGAGTGTCGTGGTGAGATGTGACTGTTTTGGGACTGGCCGGGCAGTGAAGGCGAATGGTGTTCAATCTCTCACAGGCGTAGCGCGGAGGTTTTTTTTTGCCGTCGTACTCACTTGACATATCAATTTTCCTTATCTCAGATCCGCGTCATTCATGTCCCCACGGCCTGAATATCCGGTTTGGTTGAGAGGATTTGATGCAAACACTAAGGTCCCCTTTTATCTATGACCGGGAAATACATACGCTCAAGATCAGAAGTGCCAGGTGTAGAAGCTCTTGTGATATGAAGCTGGTGCAGATCAGAGACCAAGCCCCACCGTCGGGGTTAGCTCTGAGGTTCTATACGGACGACCAAGTTAATTTTTAATAAACCTGGCTCATTGTTGTATATAAAGGCCCATGTATCCCGCTGAAACAATGAGTCAATTCATACCCCTTCACCAAACCCAACGGAACTTCACCAGAGGTTGCATGTGCCTCTTCTAAGATCAGCGATGATATCTAGAGGATAATATCAATAGACAGCAGAAATAGTCAAATGTCGATCTTGCTCACGAGCGCTCAGCAATGTTGAAACCTCATGACGGCCGTCAACATGTTAGGCTTGAGGATCGCTCGCTTGCAAGGCTCAAACCACGCCCTTGCAGCGGGCCTGAACTGCTCGCTTTCGATCCCGCAATATTATTGCTTGTTCATCGCAGAGCCGCACATGAATGTCGCTGTCTTTTGCTAGCCACGCATCTGATCCTTGAAGCTGTTGTTGCTCTTCCTCGAATCAAATTTTCTGGGCAGATTTGACGACGTAACATTACTACATGCAGAATTAAAAGTCGAGCAGTATGAGGCCTGGTATAGTGAGGGTGTCATGATAGCGTAAGAGCTTCATGGATTCCGCTATAAGGGGACCAGGTGTGTGCACTAGAATTCATGCAGTATAAGTGATCTCGTTCGTTTGCCATCGAAGACGGCCTGATTAGCCTCAGCTTCAGTAATTGCACCATCTGGAGATTGCTGATGGGGGGGGGGGGGGGGGGGGGGGGGGGGTGTTGGCCGATTTGTGGGCGTGATTGGAGCCCGCAAGTGTGGTGCCTGGCGCTCTGCGGCACGGCTTGCTGTTGTGGAGCCGGTAGAGCCCCTGCTTCGTGTCTAGTTCAGCCGAGGAGTGAGCCTTTCCAAAGAAAACCTTGGAACCTTGAAAAAGCCAAGGCGGATATAACAGGCACAGAGAGAAACCAACTGAGCGCAAAGAACCCAGCTTTTCAGCAATAGAAGTGGTGTGGTTCAACGTGAAAAGTACCACATTATCGCCTCTCCCCGTCGCCTTTTGTACGGTCGGACAGTATTACCATGTTTGAAGAGGCACTAGTTCAATCCGGCTTGATATCTAGGTTTGAGTATACATGGTTCGTAGTCCAGGTAGTTTACGACAGTACACTGGTTGCCATTGCCGAAATGCTGGTCATGACTACGACACATTCCCCGAACGGGCGTCGGTACCTAGTCACAGAATAATCACGAATCTCAACATTCTGAGTGTCTTCCCATCACTCAACTCCTATTCTGTGAGAGATATCTGTTACCTTCTTGTCGATATTACTGGAGGTTATCCACTTTCTCAAGATACCCAAAAGGTCAGATCACGACTTGAAATCAGTATGGCCGACGAAGAGGGCACGGCTCAAACCAACTGGTTCGAAGTTGGATCCTCGATAGCATACTTAGCAGTCTGTGGGATTGCTATACTTTTCGGGCTCTGCAGCTGTGCATATTTTTGTGTCGACAGGTGGTTGATCAAACGGAGACGTATCTCCAAAGCCCGGAAAGCCGCAGAGAATCGCAAATGGCCTGCTCGCCCGCATAGAGGATCAGGGCTCAACAACATCTCAGTCCCCTCGCCGAGGAGATCAACTTACAGTTAAGCTATCCCTGTTACGAAACAACATACCAAGTCCGACATGAAAGGTTATCACGAGCTTCAGGACCTCGAAGCGGCGAGGACCAAGGAGACGACCTATTGATCTCTCTAGCTTGGCTTTGACCAAGACACTGGAATAATAAGATCGAAGAACGAGGAGACCTTGAAGTGTGGTGCAAGAGTCAGGGAGACAGACGGGGCTGAAGCTTTGGGGGAGTTCGCTGCTTTTGCTCTTTCTGGACCTGAGGTTCCCTGCAAGAAGGGTCATACATCGAATTTTGCTGTATAATATCGCTTTGGATGAGGATCATTTCAAGAGGTTTATATATCTCAAAACCCGAAAATCATCAAAATAGTATCGATTCTCAATGAAATTCCTAAATTATGGTTGTCAGCATTCAGAGATCTCAAAAAGGGCTCAACCTACCGAGCGATAGCAAACACGAAAGGTACCATCAAAATTAAGACATAGCTCTGAACAGAGCCGAAGGAGTGACCGACGTGTACGATCTTACGAAGGCCAGGCACACTGCCGTTGCGAATCATTCGAGTTATTTGAGCGAGAGATTCAACTTCGAGGGCGGTTTGGATTTCAATATTCGGATCGCCGTGAGACGACTTTCCAATGCCGAGGCGGTCGTATGCAAAAGTGTGGTAGCTGCGCGAGAGGGCATAATCGACATAAGAGTAGTTGAACCCCTTGAATGAGATATCCCAGTAGCTGCAGAAGTTAGCTTTGCTATTCGCGTTGTTGTAGTAGGTTGATCTCACGTCTTGTCAAATCCATGCTATGCGTTTCAGATGGAATTTGGACTGCTCCGTACTCCACGATGAGATGCGGGTGGACCCACTCACGATCTACGAAGAGTAGTTCACACTGGATCTCTATCCTCTCTTCTATACCCTGGAGTATTTACACCCCTTTAGATATACACCCCGACACAACCATATCCCATGCGGTCAGTATCACCCTCAAATGACGTTGTCCAAACAATCACCTGTTGAAAATGGGAAGAGCGGACAGGAAAGCCATGGGCAACAGACGGGCAGCTTCAAGCCGGTTATGGCTTGTACAGTATTTTACTTCCTGTTATCCGTGATCTCTTCGTCTACACTTAGTGTTTTGGTTATTTAAAGCCACAGTGATATAAGTCATGAGTGAATATTTCAAAATTTCACCATTAGACACCTATATACTTGGTTATGCACGCAGGATCAGAAAGAGAAGTCCAAGGACATTTTGATCATACACTTGAGGTGGAAAATTCCGACCATGGAACGAACTTATCTATTCTGGCCAATGAAAACACACAATTCATTTGTGTCTTGATCTTCGGCGCTTCACTTGGTTTCACAAACAATAAAAGCTCATGGACGGAGTATCTGAATAGTTCAAGAATAAAAAGAGCAAAGAATAGTATTTCCGTGTCAATTCTATCCGGATGTCGCTAACCAGAAGGCCCCCGCGAAATGAAACAATAGCAATGAAGAAGAAAACGTCCAGAGCACGTAAGAATAAGAATAAGAAACACACCAGCAACTGCGCGAGGGGCGAGGAGAGGATCGAAGTTCAATGAGATCAATTAGGAAGTGTGTCGCCAAGACTCAATTTCCCGGCTCGTCAAAGGGAAGACCGTAAGTTTGGCGGAATCGTGTAATAGATCGTCTCCCCCCTCGCCTTTGAAAACATACTGCACGGCCACACGACCATCTTTTGTTTTGAAAACCATTTGCTCGGTGATCTCATTTGGAGATTCCATATTAGCCAAGATCATGTTTGGCTTATTGCAGATTGAGCCAATGACAAGATCGGCCAATTTGAATTTGCGCAGATGCGACGGGAGCTTGCGTCGTTGACGACAAAGGAACACAAGCGATTTCCACTCTGTCGTTGGCCAATAGACGTGCTGGATTTCCGGTGGAGCGAGAGTCTCAATGACCGAGTTGGGGATGCTCACTTGCACAATCACCGCGGAACAGGACTCAGAGCGACGCTTGGCGTAACAGGCATAACGGACAGCAACTTCTCGATCAACGCCGAAGTAAATATCAATCGTTTTCGATGTGAAATCAGCCGGTGGTATGGCCGCAAGGCATTCGTAATCGATACTGCCGTCATTACGAAACAGGCCACTGATCCGTGCTTTGTCCATTCCCTTGTACAACTGGGTTCGCCCCGGTGCGTTTGCTGCTACCTGGGTTGCAAAGGAAGACATAGCAGTCTCCGGCGACATCCACGGGGCAGATCTCAGCGAGTCCGAGATGGATCTTTGTGTAGGAGGATCGGGACTGTGTGTGCCAGGACGTGAAGATTCACGTTGAGTTGCCTGTTCACGTTCACGTTGACGGGAAGCCTCTTGTACCTCCTCAAGTGCACGGTATCGTAATTTGAGAGTGTCTATCGCCCAGAATTGGCATGTTTCTGTAAGGCGGATGTGTCGAAATTTCGTGTCCATGATTGCGGATGTGAACTCGTTACTCATGCCGTACCTGTCCAGACACTCAAGCCATGCGGAGTCATTCTCGTCGCAGGTATCCGGTTGGGTTTCGAGATAAGCCTCTGCAATTTCGATAAACGGAATCCCGTTTTCGAAATCGTCGCATTGACGCTTTATGATGCCAGCGGGCCAGTTGTTCCATCGTTGCCAGATAGAAACGGCAGTCTGGCGATTGTATCCAATGTACTCAAGTGTAGCCAAGGACGTAAGATCCTCCGGGATACTGACGAAGCAATCGGAGCCGGAGTCCATCGATATGGGGGTCAGTGGGAGATGACCATCGTCTTCATCACTAGATCGATTCAATCTGCGTTTGTGTATGCGTCGAGTGCCATCAGAATAAGGAGGACTCGCTAAGCCTGAGTCTTGTAGAGTTGCTGCATCGCCAGGAGCCAACACTGCTGTGGATCTGTCTTGTTCGTTGGTCGACATGATGGACAAGGCGAACGAGAGTCGAGGGAAGAGATACAGGAGACGAGCACTGGACAACGAGAATAGAAGAAGAGGAGGTAATCCCTTGAGAAGAGAGTAGTATCAAGTTCCGATGATGTGAAGTGGAACTGGGAAAGTATATTAGTTGAAGTAAGGTTGATGGTGGTCAGTAGTGTTGACATACCGTGAAGATAGAAATGAGATGAGCGTGGCAGAGAGTAAGAATCGACCGAGCAAGAGTCAACCGAGATGCGATGACTTTCGGAGGAGCTGCAGGAGGTTCAATTTCCGGACGCGTCTTCCAGGTGCTGTAACAAGGCCCGAAAGAACAAGAAGGCAGACAAGAGGATGCGAGTAAGAAACGATGAAAGGAATCAAAGTTGTTCGAGCACGTTGAAAGGTGAAGTTAGAGTAAAGTGAGTGGTGAAAGAGATGAGGGAAGAAGGAAATGGGGGGGGAGGCCTGCTCTTATAGGCCTCCTCTTTAGGATTTCCCGATCGAGGCAACCGCTTCCTTTTTCGGTGCGGGGACAAAATGTCTTTACTTCCAAGGTTAAGACCACATATTAACCAAGAATCGATCATACATTAACCACCTGGGCAAGATTCAGATAGCTGGGCCCGTACACAAGAACTTCAAGTGAAGAATCCGTTTACCTTAAGTTTTTTTTCACATAACATATTGTACCAGGTATCCATTGACGGGTATTTCATAATTTGCATGTGTCTGTAAGCCAGATGTGTCAAAATTTGGTGTCCATGATTGCACACGTCGACACTCGACCCATGCGGAGTCATCATCATCACAGGTATCGGGCTCGACTTCAAGGTGGCCCTCGGCAATTTCAAGAACGTGTTCCCCCGGATCGCTGTGTACGTGTGACCGAAGCTACCCACAGAGCGTGGGAAATGAGGCTGGAGGGCAATGGGAATGTTGTTGTGGGCAGCGCCGTGTGTCCGCCGTGTGTTGCAAGTACCGCCGCAAATAGGAAGGTGCGTAATCCCAGCTCAGAGTGCCAGCTCAAGCTGTAGGCGGCTGTTGGGAGGTCTGGTGGGCGAAATTCGCGGCGTATAGTAGTTGATCTGGGCTCTCTAGTAGTAAAATGGTGTATCAGTAGCTGGTTCGTCAAAATAACGCCGTAGAGAGTGCCGTATCTTGCGTAGGAGATGGTGAGACACAAAGCAGCTCGCTCGCGGTGCCTGGACTCCCCACGCCACTTGTATACATAGCAGTGTTGCCCGTAAGCTTAGCAATCAGATCCTTGGAGTCATATACCAGAGTCCCTGCCGAATAGCCTTATCCGTACATCATGATGCTGGCGGCTTCCGGCTCGTATGCGTAGGTCAACGTGAGGTGATGGGAGTCTGCAGTCGAATCTGTCCGGGGAAATGAGGTAGCCTGTTCCAGTAGAAGCTGTTAGTAAGTGTCGCCCAGTAAATCTGCAGTTATCGTGTCGGAGGAGGGGGAGTAGGACGCGCGCACCGGCAGGTCTCGTCGAGGCCCAGGCTGTACACACGCCGTTTACCTGCTGTTCCGTCGAGCATCCACTAGAATCATACAGTAAGCATCAAAGTAGAAGCAGAACACGAGATCTGTCTCGTACGCAAGGTCTGTGGCGCCGTAGCGCGTGGAAGCCCGCCCGCCCGTCTGGTCTGTTGATGCCCCCATGGCTGAAACGCGTCCCCCCGAGATCTAGATGGATTTTGACGCGCAGTAATCGTAACAAGGATTTGTTTTGAGGACTAAAGCTTCATGGTCAGTCCAAGAACACCGGGCACGCTGCTTGGCGTTGCCCGCCTCGTAGTCTGTAGGCCCCATACGGCGTAACCACTAGTAAACCCACAGCAAGAGAGTGCTACGACTAGCATTTCCAGTAAATCCTTGCCGGTAGCCACATCTACACCTCTACCTGGCGATGTCCCCACGATTCCAGATGGCGATACCGGCGATCGGCGGGCGCTGGGCGCTGGAATCGGGCGTTTCCACAAAGAACGCGTCCTAGACCAGCCAAACCATCCTCAGATGCTCAAATCTCATCGCAAATACTAGCTCCTATTGATTCTACGATGGAATATACCATATAGGACGCCTACCTCACCGCCGGGTGCGCCTCGTGTGTTGATCCCCTGCCGGGCTGGGCGTGCTACCGCTACAACTCCGCCAGTGATCCAACACAGACAACAGACACATCTCCTGCATACGGGTAGCCAGCTCAGACAGATATTGTCTGAGACGCCGGATACGAGCTTTATCGTGAGTCCTCACCGTCTACTGACCTACTCGGTTGACATCAACACACCAGCAGCCGGCGACACTCGTGCCTCCATCACCTCCCACCACGACCGACGAGCTCCTTGATGTGGACCCCACGCTTCTTTCTACTGTATCAGTGGCTTCTGCTTGGAAGGGGAGACTACGGTGTCGATGTGGCGATGAGGAGCACTACGGCCAGTACTGCCATTCCAGTCACCAGCAGCACAGCGATGGATTCAGCCCCCAAAACCGGCGAATGTGACACCAGCAGCCGTACAATCCAGCATCCTAGCTATCTACAGCGAATTCTGTCGTCTCTTCTCCGTTGGCGACAGCTTTGTACCCAAAAATCGGGCGACGCTTGCGCCAACGTTGAGAGTTTCTCGGCAGTCCAGTCACTCAGCTTCTTTTCTGAGCCCAGGGGCCTCTTCCTACCGTGTGACTAGACTCTGAATCGATGGGGCATACTGTGTTTCTGTCTCCTGGTTGATTCCATCGTACTTTTGGCGGCAGCGGAAGAAGATGCCTGTAATACGGTCTATTGTCTTTTAGAACCCGAAGAATGCAACACAGAGGCCTCATGTAGCCTTTCCTGAATCCAAAAACCACTTGCCAACGTAATTTGACCGATCTCCGGCGTTACAGCATCGGTTCTTCCAGGTTGTAAGCGCCCTGCTGCCATGCGATCGCTCGCCAGCTATTTCTGCAGCAGGAGGTTATTCTCCCCCGTATTCGCTTTCGGGAACTCGAGACGATCGGCGGTGGTACAGACCCTGAGGCTCGGCGGGATGGTTGTTCAGTGCCAAGCCTTGTTACACTGCGGGACACGGGCCGTGCTCGGCTGTCATTCCATACACGGCTTAGCGCATAACCCTATAACCTTATCGATCTATAAAAGTGACACGGACCACCTGTCAATAAAATCCTACGTTTCTACGAAAAGAACAACCTCTGAAGCGTTGGTTTGGAGCGTTGAGGCGCTGTTTTATGGCCGTGGGAGTCACAGGGAGCGTCCATTGCGGCACGGGCCTGTTGAGTGGGCACCTGGCCGTGCCTTCCTGTTGGGGAAGGACCCTGGCGCGCCTGCCCCAATAATCCTGAATTGCGGCCACAACACACGCACCCAAACCTCTACAAACAGCAAGTGCAAGAGATCAGATCAGGCCTCCCACTCGCTACCAAGGTACCCGCTCCCTCTGGGGTATAAATACCAGGCCTCCCCCCTCTTCTCTCTCTTTTTTTCTTCTTCCTTCAACTCCCCACCACTCCACATTATGAGCTCGCCTCATTACATCATACATCCACCTTGGGTCTTCCATCACATGACACCCTTCCTCTTTACATGATCACTCATCTCACATGATGTCCTTCATCATGCCTCATCACTTCATCCATCCACCTCCATGGTGGTTCATGTCAATCACATGACAGGTTAGTTGTCCCATCCCCTTCGACTTCTTGTTCCTTCCTTACTTACATCTCTTACTCAGACATCTCACCTACTTGGACTCATCACATGTCCTCTTACATCTTACATCTTTTATGCATGCTCACCCATTGCATCATTGGTTTGTCTCTTCCCTCCCTCCCTTCTGTCTCTTCTTACACTGTCTAGGTCACTCAACCTCATGACCTTCCACTATCCAGGTCACCCAACCTCATGACCTTCCACTATCCAGGTCACCCAACCTCATGACCTTCCACTATCCAGGTCACCCAACCTCATGACCTTCCACTCCAACATACCATACATCCACTATGCATGCTCATCCATTGCATCATTGGTTTGTCTCTTCCCTTCTTCCATCCTTCCCTTCCTTCTGTCTACTCACACACATCGTGCAGGCAACTCATACAACACACTGTCTCCCATGTCGTCTTCACTTGCTCGTCTTTGCCTTCGCCGTCGTCGCTGTCTCATCTTCGCTCTCTCGTCGTGTCTTTGCTCTTTCGTCTTCGTCGTCTTCGTCGTCTTCGCTTGCTACTCTATGCTATACTCTCTTCTTTGCTTGGTTCTCTCATGTTGTCTTTGCTTATTTGTCTTTGCTTATTTGTCTTTGCTTATTTGTCTTTGCTTATTTGTCTTTGCTTATTTGTCTTTGCTTATTTGTCTTTGCTTATTTGTCTTTGCTTATTTGTCTTTGCTTATTTGTCTTTGCTTATTTGTCTTTGCTTATTTGTCTTTGCTCTCTTGTCTTTGCTCTCTTGTCTTTGCTCTCTTGTCTTTGCTCTCTCGTGTTCGTCTTCAACATGTTCGTCTTCAACTTCTTCAACTTCTTCAACGTCTTCGTCTTCAACGTCTTTGCTTGCTCGTCTTCGTCTGTGTCCTATTCGTCTTGGTCTCCACCATCTTCGCCTTCAACGTCTTCGTCTTCGTCTTCAACGCCTTCAACGTCTTTGCTTGCTCGTCTGTGTCTGTGTCCTCTTCGTCTTGGTCTCCACCATCTTCGTCTTCAACGCCTTCGTCTTCAACGTCTTTGCTTGCTCGTCTTCGTCTGTGTCCTATTCGTCTTGGTCTCCACCATCTTCGCCTTCAACGTCTTCGTCTTCGTCTTCAACGCCTTCAACGTCTTTGCTTGCTCGTCTGTGTCTGTGTCCTCTTCGTCTTGGTCTCCACCATCTTCGTCTTCAACGCCTTCGTCTTCAACGTCTTTGCTTGCTCGTCTGTGTCTGTGTCCTCTTCGTCTTCGTTTTGTCTTCTTTGTTTCTCTCATCTTTGCTTACTCGCTTTTGCTTTATCGTCTTCGTCTTTGCTCACTCGTCTTTGCTTGGTCTCTGTTCTGTCTCTGCTCTCTCTCATTTTCTGTTCTCTTGTCTCTGCTTGCTTGTCTCTGCTCACTTGTCCCTACCCCCTACCCCCTCACCCCCTCCACTCTCTCTCAACTTCCCACGCGACGGGAAACGGTCTCATCAACCAGGGTCTCCGCCGTGAGAGCTTCTCAAGGAGGCTGCTCAAGTAAGAGGCGATTCGACATTGGCGCCCACTCTGATAGGAGACCCGAGGCCGTTTGCCCTTGTGGTTCAAACTTGTTACTTCATCGCCTTCGACCATTTTCCACACCTCGACCAACTGCAACACCCTCTTGGACACTTCACCTTGTTCAAGCTTCTACCTTGCCCACTTGCCCATTTGCCCGAACTTCCTCTTCCCTTGCCCTGCATTATTTTGTATTTGTGAGAGAGCCAGAGACAGACAGAGATTTGTAGCTAATTTGACCACTTTCAATTGAGACTTTGTTATTACCACTTCATCTTTGAGCAATCAATGACAGTCCATGCATCCTCCTGCTTCGTAGCTGTAATCCCTTTCGTAGCTCGCTACCCAGGTGCTGTGAGTCACCTGCTCTAGTTCTTTCTCTGCTGTCTTCCCCTTGCTCCTTGAACTTCTGTTCTGGATCTACACAAAGATTTGGTGTTCACTCTTGTCAATTGTCTTGGCAAACTGCTCATCGAGTTGTCTCTCACATTCGCAGCGCACGGGCACTTCTCCTCCAAAGCCTATCTCTAGCACGTCTCCTCGAAAGCATGAATACATTTTGCCCTTGTTGGCTTCGTCGAGTCCACCTTTCCTTGAAAGGTGGACTTCAATTGGATCTTGGCATCCTTAGGTAAGTTCTCGTATTCGTCTTGGCAGTGCTGCCTTGGAGACGCTAAGCTCAACACCTTTGCTTACCTCTCATCCCAGAGCTAATCTGCTTGATGTCTGAAATAATATCTCTGGTTGTGGCTAACATGGAATGGATGGTGTACCAAGATCAACCCCGAGGAGCCGTGAGGGACCAAAGATAGCACCTTCGCATTCCTCTGACTGATCCTGGGGTTAGGACGAGAGTCACCGATTCCACTCGAGGCGCCGACATACAAAATCTCGCCGTGGTTGCATCAACTGCAAGGAACGAAAAGTCAAGGTAAAGGGTTATTCGCTCGAAGTTCCTGGGTACGGGCCCAACTAAAGACCTCACCAGTGTCAGGAAACAAAGCCGTCATGTGGAAATTGCCTGCGAAGAGATATGGTTTGTTCATACCGCAAGCCAGACGACAACACCGATGCACTGACCAGAAATTCGACCATCGCGCCTGTCAGATCACTATCAAGCGAGTCCTTCACCGGAGATGACCTACGGTTCTTTCATCATTTTCTCCTCGCAGCACGTCCGCATCTACCTTATGGAAGCGAAGCATCTTGGACTACCCTGGTGCCGGCATACTCTCACGAGGTTCGCTCGTCCTATTTACACCGTCGCTCGAGTCTAACTAACCCCAGTGTCCGCATCTAATGCACGCGATCCTCTCCCTCGGCGCAACCCACTACACCCTCGCAGATCACTCGCAAACGGGCTATACCCAAATGGCTATCTCCCATCGAGGGAAATCCCTTCAGTCCTTATCGGCCGCCCTTTGCAATCTCGATGACTGCACAGATGTAGACCTGGACGGGATACTGGCGACGTGCTATACTCTAGTCTTCCAGGCATACTTTATGCCTGACGGGTTGACGGACTTTGCAGTGATGGTCCGCGGCTGCGGCATGGTCACCCAGCATATCATTTCGCGATTCAACGGGAGCAAGATGTTCACTTTGCATACACCAGAGCAGATGACCGAGCTGTTAGCGCCATGGCTACCAACAGATGCACATCCAGATCACGAAGTCATCGATACCTGTATCGAGGACATTGACAAGCTGCACTCCTTCCTGCAGAGCAGCGGGAGTCACGATTTCTTCAATGCATTGCGCAAGATCTACCTGGCTTTGAAATACTCCATCCGCGACGCCTTCTTCTGTCTAACTGAAGTATACGCTATATGGTGTACGATGGAGAATCAAGATTTCCTCAAATTCATTGCAAGTTCGAACCACGCGGTTCGAGTACTCTTCTTGCACTATATTTCGATTGATACACTCATGCGTCCTTTCATGCTTAGTGTCCGGGCTCAGGACCGGGCGCGTGCTGGCTTGTTTCTCGGTGCGGATGTCATGGAGAAATGGGCTTTTGCGATCTATCACAGTCTGCCGGCGAATATGCAAGAGTTGGTGGTAAATGAAGTGCAGATTGTGAGCTATGAAAGCCACAGGTATATGTTTCAGAGGGAAATCTCGGGGTATAGAAGCTCTACTATGGAACCGAGCCAAATTGCTGGTCGCGGGATGATCGATACTGGATCTCATACAGGTTTGTAGATAGCAAGTCTCATCTGTCTAATTTAAATGAAAATCTCAAGTGGAATCAATAACTGGGAATCAACGCAATATCGGGGGTCAACGAGGAAGAACTCTCTGAAGTGAGAAAGATAACAGAGAGAAAAGCAAGAAGATTATTGACAGTTGGTTTCTCCGGCTCGGCGCTAGAAGGCGGCCATAAACGGTTGTGTCGTCCAGTGATAAAATCGTCGGTCCGAGTGTTTCAGGCCGGGAAACGAAGCCAACATTCGAACGGCAAGATCAAGACAAAAACCGCGCTGGGTGATACCATCCAAGAAGACTGATGGCGATGAGCATTGGAACCGCTTCAAGCACGTATAAGGGCCATTCGTGGCTGAAGATGTACGAATCAACTCCGAGGGCGAATTCAATGACGCGATAAATGCTTCGGACCTGAGAAGTATCGCATAAAGTCAGTATCACACCACGATACTTTATTCAGGCTTTGCATACTGACCAGAATGAAAAATCCCGAAATGTAGATCCCCGTGATGAGCTTTTTCGACCCATCAGGTATAGTTTGTTGATTGCGCTTCGCCTTCAGATTGAAAGATCCCACAATGAGAAGAAAAGCAACAAACGTCAACACCTGCAGTACAAGGCCGCCAATCAAAACACCAGTCCCGGTATCCTTCTCTGCTCCTTCCCAATTTCCAGACGCGGCAATGCCACTTCCCGAAGCTTGAACAAGACAACTGATCACATCCAGCGTCACGAAGATCCTCGGAAGCCAAAGACGCCGCACGCGAACGAACAAAAACGATTCCTGCTTTTCGCCATTCCCCTCGCCCTCGGGCCAGATCAACCGGTCCATCAACATGTACAGACTGGCACATACGAAGACGGGGCCGATCACGATCAAAGTGGCGCTGACGGCGTATAAGGGGATACTGCTCACGTCTTTGAGACTGGCGCAACGGATCGCATACCCTGCTACTTCGAGGAATGCACCGATAAGCAGGGGGATGAAGTATCCGGCTCGTTGGCGGTGGCCTCGACGAGGGAAAAGAACTGTCATATACAGGTGGTAGAGAGAGGTGAAGAAGTATAGAATTGTGAAAACGACTGAAGCTGGAAGAGAGGGATTGTAGAAGTAGATGCTGAAGTCTTCGGAGTCCATGACTGGTATAGAGGCTGTTTTCGCTGTTGAAATTATGTAGGTCTTGTGTCAGTTGTCTGGTATCTGCTGCTTTGAGACGAAAGACATAGCTGTGGCATCTCCTTTATAGTCGTGTATACAGCTTCATGAAGTGTTTCGTATTCTGCTGCCTCTGGGGCTATACACCTCGTACTCCGTATGTGGAATCGTGTTCGGACTCGGATTCCAGATTGCCAAGATGCCAAGCTGCCAACAGTGCATAATCATATTTAATTCGTTGGCGTTGCCCCAAGAAAAGGTTTGAGGCGTTGGATGCGAGAAATCCGAAAACATGTCATTACCATGGTAATTTTGAAGCGGCTAGTCCCTAGTCTCCTATCACGTCACGTGCTTCAGTCCGACTCGCGAGAGGTTAGAATGAACTAAACCTGGCATTTTGGCCGAGATCAGGCTCTTTGCAAGTCATTACATGTGAACTCCTCCAGAGCACATATCAGGCCAGCGGTGGCGGCGGCGGCAGCATAGTCCTGCCAATATTTGTTCTTATGACTGTCGGCATAATCACACACGGCTTTGATGACAATGCACTGCAGGTTACTCGGGATGCCTGAAGCCTCCATTTCAAAGGCAATCAGCTCATGTTGAGCTGCAATTCTGTCACGATGCTCCCCAGATTTCATCACCGTATCACCAGACCCAACGGAACCAAAATGGAGTTTGGGTTTTGGAGGCTCCCCAGTCACTGATGCTATCTCCAGTCTCTTGCGCGAAATTAGCATATCTTTCTGGCATCCCAGTTCCTGACATGACAAAGTTCGTGCGGCTTCGCAAACTGGGTCTGTCTCTGCTGTGGAAACACTACAGAGATCCCACGACGGTGGATGATGATGTTTGTGTCGATACGTGGACTTGAAAAGTTCATCTTTGTCGGTGCCTGGGTAACCGGCTTTCTGGTGGCCGATTCGATCCTGTAGGGTGCGAAGGTGCTGGGAAATTTGTTTCTCAATCCGTTCTCGTTCTCGCGTGACTTTCATTTTCGACAAAATACCCAAGATCCTTGGGCCTGGCCGGGAGGAAGCTTCCAGACCCGATTTCGTCGCAAATCTATCGGAGAATTGTCTTCCGAGATCATACTGGACGACTTTCTCACTGATCACTATGTCGCCAAGTATAAGTTCACCTTTCCTTTCTGAACGTGACGGAACTCCTCCGCAAATTCCTACAACGAGAATAAGCTTGATCTCCGGGTAGGTGCACCGCAAACCGGCGGCTGCCTCGGAAGCACAACGCTTCCCCGGACCGATCATGTGAACGAGAATGACATTGTGCTCCAAGATTCTGCCCCGAGTATATCTATTGTTATCTGGGCCTGCATTCTCGTAGCTCTCGCATTTCTCATTCCATATTTCATCAAAGGCTTCAGTGACGGCATCGGCTTCTGTTTCCAATGCACAGAAGATAGCAACAGTAAATTGTCGACGTTCAGGCGCTTTATCTCGACGACTGCGCTCTTTGTGGCTGGTGGCTGGAGACGGAGAGATCGTTGGCTTTGGAGAATCTTGAATTTCCCAGTCATCTTTGTATGCATGATATAGCCCTCGAAGAGGCAGGACCACTTTCTCGTAAAGAACTTCTCGTCTGATCTCAAGATCCTTCTCAAACCTGGCAGGGTCAATTGGTCCATCTCGGAAAAGCTCGGCGTCCAAGCAACTTTGTACAGCCGCTTTGTACGGAGGCCCGATTGACTTGTCGAACCCAAAACTATTGGCGGTCCTCATTGCCCAGTCAAAATAATCATTGATCGTGAGTTCGTTCCATGGGTGCTGTCGATTTTGGGGTTTGAAGGATTGCTTGGAACCAATTTCAATGAGCACAATCCCCAACGCGAGGATGTTTGGAAATGTATGCAATACGTCGTCGGCATCGCAGTAGTCCCGTATTTGCCCGTTTGACTTCTCAAGTTTTGTGGTAAAGTAGGGATGTGGTTTGGTATAACTTCCCTGGGCGATTTTCTCTCTTACTAGCAGGATGTGTTCGTTTGTCCACGGTTTCATCATCCAGCTTGAGCTGTAGTACTGCCACACTGACCTTGCAATGGTGTATGCCAGTGTGACTTTCACCCGGTTGGAGAGATGAACGTTTTCGTCAAGCCAATTCGCCAGTGGAATACCTGCTTTTTGAACGAACATCCGCCATCCTGAGTCTCGGGCGGTATTCGCGAGTTTCATGGCGTTGTTATGGATGTGAAAGTGGATTGGTTGACCTTTATCGTTTCCTATTAGACGACAAAACTCCCCAAGTTCAATCTTTCGGAGATTGCCTGTTGACGGGTCGGTCCACGACTCAGATGATGGGTTGTTAGTTTGGGCCGCAAATGCGACCTTCTTCTTTTTCCGTGGCTCGTTCGGTCTATTTTTTGTCGTGGAATTACCGTCAGCGTTGATTGTCATGCTTAAGCAATCCGGTCCAAGAATACATACCTGGCTACCGATATCTTTCCTTCTTTCCACTCAACCTCACATTCAGTTTCAAGGCAGGACGGGGCCTTCGCAACAAACAGGACATCGAATGGAATATCTCCACTCAAAAGCTTGCTACTTTCAGTGTCAAGCCGAAGGCGTGTGGATTCCAGGTGCTGTACGTGGCACGAGCACGTTGAATACAATCGCAGCTGAGTATAAACAGCATCGTTGATTTTCGGGGAATACATAATCTCCCTATCGACCGGGTGTAACTGAATCTGTTCATCGGGTTGGCCATCTAATGAATTTGAATCCCTCATACAATCACTGATCAAACGTAAAAGCGATTGATATTCAGGATTCTTTTGCACGAAGTGTGGCAGACTGCGTCGAACTTCATCGATCAAGATTCTCTCTCCAGTTTGCTTCGATCCTTTAAACTTCAAAATTCTATGTAGTGCAGCAAATTGGGTTGTTTCATTTTTCCCTTTGTGTTTTGGGGCCTAAAACCATGACGGTTAGCCTGGGGGCGCTATCCTCGACGCTTGGCGGATTGGTCGGTAACATACCAAGCAAGCTTTGTCCATAAGCTTTGCCACTTCTATCAAGAGAGAGTCCATCCCAGTCTCTTCTAGAAATGAAATGTGCCCCCTCAGAATGAGAAGTTGACATCCAAGCTCAGCCAGCCTGGTATCAATGATGTCTCTAGCGAGACATGTTGCTTGTTCACTAATCCAGGGAATGACATTCCAACAAAGTTCCGTGACATCGTTCATTGTGGATGGGGGCCTTTATCTCCCTCCACCTTTTGAGTCGATCGCGGGAGGTTCGGTCGAAGCGATGGAAGCGATCAGGACTTCTTCGTATCACGTGTGGCATAATCAACGCGGGGTACCAGTGGGGTCATATGCTGCCTACACCAGATCTCTTCATGCCCACACTTACCAAGGTGGTCAACCATGTCGGAGCTGGCTATTTTCCAAGCCGCTCAGTCCTGTCATCAGAGTCTGAGGGTGGCACTCACAGTCCCACGACTAATGCAAAAAGAATGGGCTGAAAATCGACTGGCGGATTTCAATCTCTGGGCCGCTGGCGCCGGTGCTTTCGCAACTGGCAGGGCATCCCTGGACCATCGGCTGGAAGAAACCACAGAAGTACGCAACGTAATCATTAATCTTTTAATGATGTTGCAAATCCTTGTGCAGAAATGCATAAAAGAAGGTATTCCATTCCGCTATATTCTTAGTCCCGTTTCGTTCTCTCACACCTTATCATAGGGACCGAATGTGAGTCAAATGCCACGGCGGAATTTTTTGAAGGGTTTTCCCGAATGAAGGATGTTGAAAAGAGTTTGAATCAACTCACAAGACTCACTGTTGCGATCCGAAAGAGTGGAAATCGATCCCGACTTCACAAGGCCGATGCTTCATTTCATCCTGATACATCACAAATCAGTTCACTGCGCCGGCACCTTGAGTTTCTTATTTCTGCTCATCCGAGAGAGAATGGAAGCTCAAACTCAAGTGTCCAGAGCCTCACCTCGAGAAACTTGACCTTGATCCAGTCGCGTCTGATTGATGCCAACTTGAAACGGAGGAATCGCTTTCTTTATGCTCAGCAGCATGCCCAGAGGCTAGGGCACGAGTCGGAAAACTCAAAAAAGAGATCTGATAAGACCCTAGTGTCGAAAAGCCACATTCCATCTTCTGATACGCCAAGAAAGGCTGCAAAGGATGAAGGTGATGGTAATGAGCCAAAAGTAAAAAGCACTACCACCGCGACGGCGGTGGATACGGAGATTGAAATTCCACCTGCCTACATGACCACACCTGCGACCACCGTTGTTTCAGTCACCAGCTCTCGAATCGCATATCCAAAACCTCCATCTCTAAATGATCAGCAAGTCCTATTCAAGTGCCCTTGTTGCTGTCAGAGCCTCCCCACCACTTCAGGAAGAGGCAAACTCTGGAAGTGAGTTCCATTCTCTCTTGGTAATGATTCTAACTCACCCGGTTTGGTCTAATAGTAAGCACTTGGCGGGTGACATCTTGCCATACACATGTGTTTTTGAAGAGTGCCCTACACCTGGAGCATTCTATTTGACCCGAGAAGCCTGGGTCAGCCACATGGGCCAGGAACACGGTGGAACAGAAAGATGGATATGCCAAGCATGCTCCCAGAAGGGTGTCTACGTTACATTCCACACCCCTGTTGACTTCACCGACCATCTCCAACAGCAACATAGCAAAGCAATTAAGCCACATCATTTCCCAACCCTACTCTCAGCCTGGCGACGAAAGCTCCCTTTCAAGATTCCGGCCTGTCCACTTTGTGATTTTCAAAACGAGGATCAACAGGCCCTTCTCGATCACACTGCTGAACATGTTCACTCCTTTTCGCTACGGTCTTTACCATGGGCTCCGAGAGAAGGGGTCGATGAAGACGACAAGGAGCAATATGGGACCTATTTCAAAACAAACCCTTATTTTGCGAGCTGCCGGTCGGAACCTTCGTCACTTTCTTCTGCACTTTCATCACCAGTCACGAATACAGGGAGCTCAACAGCCTTTGGTTCTGATGAAGCATTTCATGAGCAGCAGCATCCAATGATAGAGAGAAGTCTTCACCTGCTTCCAGGTGATCTAGATGAAAAACTGGATATCAACGATTGGTTAAAAAGGGCTGATCAGGATACGGAGAGCAGTATACCCTTAGCTTCGTCCGTACTATTATATGAGCAAGAGAATTTTCCCGAAGGCTATGGAGAGTATGATGCCGGAATTGACACAGATGGTGATACAGATGAGTATGATGTCGAAATTGACACAGATGTTGATACAGATGATGATACAGAGCCCGGGGTGGCTCAAGGGCGGGTCCTGGACCACGGTATGTCTGCCATCCCGCGCCCTCCGAGTCTCCCGATGCTAGAAATTCCACCGGATGAGCCGAGAAACTCTTACTATCTCGACAACGTATTCGACCTGAACTTGATGAATCTTCCTTACATGATAGGGTGGATTACAACGTTGTCAATTGGGAATCTTGCCGCGAAGGTCCTACTCGACGAACAATTTGAACTTCCTATGTACAACATATCCCGAGACAGGAATCGCTATGTGTGCGGTAGAATGGGAAAACACAAGGTGGTCATCGCCTCACTCCCCAAATCTGTATCCGGACTAGTATCAGCGGCCGGTATCGCAACGTCCCTTCTCTCCACCTTTCCAAACGTTCGGATCATGCTCATGGTTGGACTGGGCGGCGGTGCGCCAAGTCCGGGACATGATATCCGTCTCGGAGATGTTGTCGTCGGCACCCCTGGGGACGGCGATGGTGGGCTTCTTCAATTTGACTTCGGAAAATTCATACAAACCGAAAAACTCCATCACACCAGATCCTCCCAGCCGCCTATGATCCTCAAAAGTGCAATCAACAGACTCAAGGAGCATTTCGAAGTCGAGGGCCACGATATCCAGAAAACTATTACCATGATTCTTGGCTCTTCGCAGAGATTGCGCAAGCAATTCGGGCACCCAGATCCTGAAACGGATCGACTGTATAGAAGCGACATAGCCCACCAGGGGGTCGGCCCCTGCGCCTTCAATTGCGGTACAGATTCCTCTGCCTTGATTCCTCGGAGTGGTCGCACCAATCAAGACTGTCCGAATGTTCATTATGGTCTAATTGCATCCTCCAACCAGCTTTTGAAAGATGCCAAGACTCGAGACCACTTTGTCGCATCACACAATGATGTCTTATGTTTTGACATGGAAGCAGCTGGACTGCTCGATAATCTTCCCTGTCTTGTTATTCGTGGGATATGTGACTATGCCGATTCCCATAAAAACAAGGAGTGGCAAGCTTACGCAGCTATGACTTCTGCTGTCTTCGCGAAAAACCTCTTGCAATTCATCCCATCCTCAGAACTCGATGCTGAACCGAGAATAAAGGACGCTGTTGTTGATCCGCAGACTTCACTTGGCAATATATCTGAGGGTGCAAGTTCGAACGGAAGAGGGGATGAATGAGTATTCTTAACTCTGGGGAAGGAAGGGTAGAAGACTGTCGCGGCCTGAGCATTCGAAGACCCACGAATTGCATAAGTAGTCTGCAAACTCGGTTAGCTAGCAGATAGTTACGTGCTTACCGCACAGTACAAAAAGGCGTGGGATCCATAGTATGCATGCCAGAGAAATCGAAGTTTGAAGGTTGAGATACCATTGGCTGGGAAGCACCTAGTTTGATAAAGACCGACTGTATTGACTGAGCTAGCTACACACTGCCAAGGTGCGGAGCGGGTTCAGTATGTTGCGAATTCATGCCTGATGCCCATATTTTGAGGCATCATGAGTGTGTCAACACCGTATCGTATCGAACCAATTGGAGATATCAAGGACTCTGTATTGTAGGTCCAGGCGGTGTTTGTGGTGAATTTGACTGCCCATGTGGTCTTGGAACGTAACGAGAGAAAGAAATAGTCGTGATGACCAACGAGCTTGGAATCATTCCCCCCATTTCTGCCCAGGTGAGGCTCAAATGTTCAATCAAACTCAGTGGTGCATTCAAATCCGTGGACATTAGGAAAAACAACAAAAAAGATAATGGCGGTACCCGGATTCGAACCGGGGCCAACACAGCATTGTAGGTGCGACTTTCGTCGCAACTCACCACAATGTGGTATCCTACCCCTAGACCATACCACCAATTGGATATCAATGGCCGCACTTTTGTGCATTATGGTCCTGCAAGACATCACATCAAAAAAGTGGGTCAACTTGCACCAACACCTTGCACCAAATCTGCTTCTTCTTTCATGACTGCTAGCTTGGATGAAATGATATTCTGAATAATTGAAGCGTCTATTTTCAAGTCTTGTCTGGTCCGTTGGGCTTCTAGGATTGACAGTAGTCATTTTCTTGATTCTGTGCGAATATATATTTCGCTCAAGACTTACACCCTACTACGCAGTAGATGCCTCCACAGTATTTTTATGGACTTTGCCCTTCATTTGGAGGGGATTCACTTCATTATGCCCCAGGGCCCTCACAACTCATATATACAGCCTGTAATTAAGCAAACAGCACCAAAGGGTTATACATCGGCGGAGAACAATATCGGGTCAACATGGTGAGGCATACTGAATTTCATCATGGGTGGGCCTAGCACTCCAGACATGACGGCACAGAGAAGGAAGATGCGCACATACATAGAGGTTGATAACTCTAGATAGACTACATCCACGATTTGTGGACTTGGTTCCCAGGTCAGAGCGCAGAAGCTTACTTCCACAGGCGAACCTTGGAAGATGGGTTCATCCGGGAGTAGCATATCCATGGATCACCGCATGAACTGTAGCATGGCAAGCGTAAACAATCTGCCAAATTTGCCGTTTGGAACGAAGTACCCATCGTCACCTTTCCCGAGGTTTTGCTCTCTCTCTTTAGTTTGGGTCCCCATTTCACTGGACCCAATACCAGAATCATGCCCGAGAATGCCTACGTAGTGAAGGCTTCTACTCGTCAGGCCACACAAAAAGCCGCAGGCCAAGCAGGTACATGAATGCCTTCCCAAAAAAAGCAAACAGTACAGACGGGTTTGAAAAACAAAAACACAAAAAATGAAATGGCGGTACCCGGATTCGAACCGGGGCCAACACAGCATTGTAGGTGCAACTCGCGCTGCAACTCACCACAATGTGGTATCCTACCCCTAGACCATACCACCTATTCGATGACGATCGCTCACTTATTTCAAACTATGATCCTGGAAGAACGTGAGTCTGGAAAACAGCGAACATTGTGAACATTGGCACTAGCCCACTTTGGGCGACGAATCAGGTCCCCATTATCTAATCTCGAGTCTCTGCCCCAATCGGGATCAATCTTTGGGAATTGGCACGAGCTATGAGTTTCCTTGCATTCGATCTCAAGATCGTGATCTTCTGGCCATCACTCAGAGCGATCCTGCTGATCCGTCTCATGTTGACGTTTGGGATTCACCGGCTCCGTCCTCGTATTTTGAGCACCTTGATCCATGAGGTCGGGGCTCTGGAAAGGCCCTATACAAGAATCAGTATATTGAGCCTGTTGAGGAATGGGCCCAACAATCCTGCTCCTCGCTGCGGAATGGAAGACTTACATTGAAATAGGGCTTTGGTGGAGTGGTAGGAAAGTAAATCCTACAGAGAGGGAAGAGCGAGAGGATGTGAGAGGATGTGAAGAAGAGAGAGAGAGAGAGAGAGAGAGAGAGAGAGAGAGAAAAGAAAGTGAGAGAAGGTACAGAAGAAAGAGAGAAGAATGTGGAAGGTGCGAGGAAGAGAAAGAGGGAGTGTGAGAGAGAGAGAACGTCAAATTCAGCAGACGCCCCCTATGTAATTCAAACATCTCCCATCCAAACGCAGGAAATTATCTTCACTTCGAATTATTTAGACTATTCCTCGGCGCCACAGAAAGTGAAGAGATTCTGACTCGAGCTCGATGAACTCACACGGTGAATCTACTTCGCACCAAGGCTAAGAATTCCCCGCCCATTCAGTGTATACCTGCAATACCGCGAGTACGCCTGAAAAGAGAAAATTAACTGTCGTTTCATGTACTGCACTGAGACCAACAGACAATATGACGCCCACGGAGAAACAGCCGAGCTGAGCCAAAGTACGAAATCCGACTGATTGTCCATGCAACTGCCAGCTCATGATAAATCTGGGGAAAGAGCCATGGCACTACCAGCCGCTGCCGACCTGTGATACTGGGCCCTGAAAGCCCTGGTCGCTTTGCGAGTCAGCTGCCAGGCTGCGAATGCCCAAATCATGGCAAGGGTAACTCCATGTTTGCTGCGAGCCACAGACCTGCTTGAAGTTAAGGACACTTGGTTGATTCAACACCCTCGAACTAATCCTCTTTGTGAACAGGAGCCAGCCGAATGTACCAAATTTTTGTCTGACAGCCCCCTCCGCGCGTTTGCGTCCATATTCTGACCCAAAGTTATCCTCCAGCATCAACCGATGCCTTATCCCCTCGACGAGGAGTCCCTACAAGTCTTTTGATTTGCTTACGGTGGATAATACAGGCTGGGATATCGACTGCGCTTCCTTGGATACCAGTTTGTGGATGTTTGAGAACAAGGTTTCTTATTGAAATGCACATGCTCCTCGCTACACACTCTTGATGTCGGCAAACCAGGCCGCAATGTCTCCCACGTTCCGATCAACGGAATCCGGCTGGTCATAATGCTGGAAGTGGGAAACCTCGTTGTTCCAGATGAGCTTCTTCCGAGCAGTGGGAATGGACTCGTAGTGACGCTTGGCAGCCGCCGCATTCATACAGTTGTCGCCGTGGATCAGCAAAGCCGGCTTGTTCAGCTTCGCCACACCAGGCACAGTTGTATAGTCGAAGTGATCAAGGTCACTCATCACCGCATACCGATTCTCGAACCCCTTCAGCGTCCAAGGTCCATACCAGGACCAAACAACCGGCCCGGGAAGACCAGCCAGTGACCCAGTCTCAGGGTCCGCGGGTGTAGGGTCTACCAGCGGTTGGTAAACCACTTCTCCACTCTTGTCGTATTTCTCACGGGCTTGTTTGGCTCGCTCAATTCGTGCCTTATAAAGAGCTTCGCCTTGCTCGGGGGTTGGCATCTTCATCGCGGCTATATCTGCGCCTGGCGTCCATGCAACGCATCCAGCGCAGATCATGTAGATGTCGGTTTCGTGGTCCCGGTAGTATCCGGATACCGAGGCCACTCCTGCAACGCGATCATCGTACGATGCCACATCCAAGGACTCAGGACCACCCTGGCAGATCCCGACTAGTAAGAGTTTGGATTTATTGACATCGGGGCGCGTGGACAGGTAGTCGAGACCTGCCACCATGTCTTCGTTCTTCATCTTGGGGTTCTCGAGTCGGCGGGGCTGACCGGTGCTCTCGCCAACAGTTCGAGGGTCGAAGATCAAGGCTGCATAGCCTTCATCCGCCAGACGGGTCGCATATTGCAATGGTGCTTGTTCTTTCACGAACGAGTATGGACCTGTGATGACCACACCAGGCGGATTGGTGATATTGGTGGGAAAGAAGAGAACCCCACTGATGGTCTCGCCGTGAGAAGGATACGAAACCTTTTCGGTGGTGTACTGACCGTGGCAAGGCATTTTGAAATAATGAGCGAGAAATTGGTGTCCAGGGCGGCCCAGATATAAGTGTCGGATCGTCTCCAGCCGGGATTACGCCAGCCACTGATGAAAAATGACGCATGGATCGACAAATACAGCACATCACACAGGAATTGCCAATGATGTTCCGGCATCACATCGCTTGCCGCGTCCCGACTCTTTGTTCGCACCGTCATCGATAAAAGCGGGTCTGGATGCATGCCGACGCCGATGGGCCAATCACATAGCGTCCTCGAACTGTACGGAGTCCATCAATCTCTAATTATGCGACGACTCGTATAAGCTCAGATGGGAAAGACGGTGAACAATGACCAATGTCTATGAGCTGACTCATTTTGATTTGATCATAGCTGTTTGCCCCTCGACTACTTTTCACAAGTCTGGGTCCTATCTTCCAAGGTCCTTTCTCCGATGCCTGCCTTTCTCGCCAAACAAATCCCGGTTATTTATTGTCTGGTTGTGTCTCTCACTCTGAGGTGACAAATATGCAGACTCAAACATACTCACCAAGGGACTCAGCCGATACGAGCTACCTCCAGGGCTGGCGAGAATTGGTCTGGCATTGGCCCCGCGAGCGCGGGGGCGGGGCCTCGGGATAATTAGAGCCCCACCAATCGCCCATTATGAAGAATTTTCATACCGATTTTGGTGAGGCTATCGCCTAGCATCGCTGTTCGCCATGGTTTTAAATAGACCTCTGCCTATCTCCGAGGCATGGCAGACCCCAGATGTCTACATTGAGGCCCTCCTCTCTTTCTCCACTACATCGGTGCTCTTCATGAACTTATGTGGTGGCATACACATGGTCGATTTTCTGACCCGCGAGCCCGATCTTTATACAACAAGTTTACCAGAAGACTGGAGAGAATTTTCTACACACCATGACATTCAAGATATTATTCATTTACTTCTTCGAGAGGATATCGACCCATTGCGAAACACTGCCGTGGATCAAGGCAGCCGGATGTGGAATGGGGGAGCATTTCCTCCCCAGACCCTCCTGGACTACATCCACACCGTCCGCCAACTGACACTACAGCGGGAAATTCGTGCGCCAACCCCGACCAGCGAATTGCCCAAGCAAGTTGCAATGCGTATGAATCGAAAAAAAGTGCATGAAGTTGAACATTTCTCCCAATATGTCGCATCACTATCAGAAACCGTTCGTCAACGCCGAGGGGAACCAGTATCTCATATTGTGGACTTCGGGTCTGGACAGAACTACCTTGGACGGACGCTGGTCAGTCCGCCCTATCATAAACACATCATCGCAATCGAGCGTCAGCATCAGTATATCAGTGGCGCCAAGACCATGGACGTTCGAGCCAAGTTGGCTGAAAATCCCAAAGCGCAATACGTACGGAAAGAGAAAGATTCAACCGACGGTCAACCCGATGGCCAAGACGGTAGTCCAAAAATGTCTGCGTTGGAAGCGACGAGTGCTGAGAAATTAACCGTGGAGGGTTTGCAAATTGCACAGGGTGATTCAAACCTTGAAATGCTGGGCGAGATCAGCCTGGATCCTGAGGAACTACTTGGATCGGTTACCAAAAGCCCACAACCAGAAAAGCCGTCGAAGGAGGAGGTTAGTGCGCGTGGTACTCTCAGCTATATCGAGCATGACATCCAAGATGGATATCTGGAGCCAGTTGTCGACCACATCATCCATACTCCCATTGAAAATGGCGCTAGCAAACGAGAAGAGAGCAGTGCTAACTTGATGGTCGTCTCCCTCCACTCCTGCGGAAATCTTGTGCACCATGGTATAAGATCTCTGATCCTGAACCCTTCAATTGTAGCAGTCGCCATGATCGGCTGCTGCTACAATCTGGTGACTGAACGTCTGGGCCCAAGCAAACACGAGCTCCCTGTTCTGCAATCCCTCCACCCTCGACTCAAAGAAGCTGGAGCATCATATGACCCACATGGATTCCCCATGTCCCGGCACTATGAGAATTACCGAAGCCCTGGAGCAACGACAGGAATGAAGCTCAACATCACAGCCCGCGCAACAGCCGTGCAAGCACCATACAACTGGGGTCCAAAGGACATCGAAATATCATTCACGCGCCATTTCTTCCGCGCTCTACTGCAGCGGATCCTCGTTGATCGAAATGTCATTCCCAGGCCCTCTGTGTCGGAAGACACTCCCATCGAGGAAAAGCCATATGCCAGCAAAGCGGACTCTATAATCATTGGCGCAGTACCCAAGTCTGCCTACAAGTCATTTAATGCATACGTTCGTGCAGCGACGATAAAAATGAGCCAAGACCCGAACTATGGAACTCTAGTTCAGGAGCATATTGCCATAATGACAGACGAAGAGATCAACGACTACGAGACTCGGTACCTTCATGCAAAGAAACATATGAGTGTGGTATGGAGTCTTATGGGATTCAGTGCCCAGCTTATCGAAGCTATCATCGTCGTGGATCGGTGGCAATTCCTTCGTGAACAGGACTCTGTGAAAGACTGCTGGGTTGAGCCGGTCTTTGAATATGGTTATAGCCCGCGTAACCTTGCAGTCATTGGATTGAAGAAGTGAGCATGGGATTCGGGATCATTGATCTGCATCTAAGCTGGCATTCCAGGCTACCAATTTGATTTCATACGTAGACCAAGGGAAATTTTCACTGAAATTGCTTGTATGAGAAAAGGGAGAAAGTCTACGGGGAGAATTAGTGGTTGGCTGCCTCAGGTGTTGCTGTCTCAGGCACCAAATCTGTCTAATCTCAGTCTCTCCGGGGCCTGGGCGTACGGTTTGTCATGTTGGACGAGAGTTGAAGTAGCATCGGAAAACACAGCCCTTCCCTCAATGCGAATTCATTTCGCTGCCTCAGTATAGGATTTGATATGTTGAATTTTAACTGGAGAGGCATCAGAAAAAACAGACCCGTCGTAGGATAATTCTGTATCCACGTTGACATTTCATTCTATCAATTTGTATTGAGGCCCCTGGTTTGAAGAAAAGAGAATAAAGCGATCCATCCATGGGTGCAGAAGACGTTGCAGAAGGCAAGTTCCAAAAGGCAAACGCCCAGGGTTTTGACTACCTAGAAACCATCTCATCCTCGTCATCAACTTACTTCAAACTTGAGGAAATCTTACCCAATTAGCTCGTATATTGCAATGACCCGAAAGAATCTGTTGATAATGGTGATTTGAAAAGAGATGAGCTACGAAAAAAAAGTGAAACTAAAGCCACGGAAGTGATAAATTGAGACAGGGGTTATTAACATTTCAACTCAGAGGTCTGTATGGACGGGGAAAAAAAGAAACCAAGCCTTGTCTGAAGACCAAATTTAAAAGCCACAAACTACTTCAAAATTATCCTGAATATTCATACAATCCTAGATCAACTACACAAGCCGCAGCCGATGTCCACAATATGCTCTGCGCCCATGATGGTGATACCGAAGGAGAAGACTCAAAAGCTCAACTAGGCTTAATATTGCAGTGAATCACGAAGAATGCGTATGAATAAGAATTCCCTTCCAAGTCAACTACCAGCCCATCCCTCCCAAAGATTCTCATCAAATGTTCCAATATGACTACCACTGAAACTGCCGTCCCTCAAACCCAAGTCGCTCTGAGTGGAAAGGTCATTGCTGGTCATTCCAGATCATCGCGATTTGGAAACCGGAATGCCCAGAGTCCCCGATTAGGCATCCAGCCGTCGACCCGAATCTTAGGGACCAGGTGGAAACATGACCTAACTGAATGTTTCGGGCGCCCACAGAAGACACAGCAGCCCCCCTTCTTCCCAGGGCCCTTCATCCATTGATTCACCCATTTATGGGGCTTTACGTCTGTTGGGGGGGGCTTTTCGGAGCTCGGGTCTCTTCTTGGTGTCCGCGGGTGTGGATGTGTTTGTTTTTCGAGTTGTGGGCTGTGCGGATTCATCAAGAGAAGAATTGTGCTTGATGAGTGATTCTCTCAATGCTTGAGCGTAGGTTTTTGTGCGCTGGATCGTAGGTGTAGGGATATCCGCAGATATAAGTTCTTCCTCAATAGCCTCTGCAAAGAATTCGTTGTTTTGGAATGATATTCTTCGGATTTGGGATTCAATTTCGTCCCATTCTGAGGGAGGCTCCGCGTCATCCGCGTGCATTTTGATTCGAAGGTAGCAGTATTGGGCCACTCAATTTCTCGTGACAATTGTAGAAGTAGGGAGAAGAGAGTTTGAAAAGAGAGAGAGAGGATAAGAAGGAGAAGGAGAAGAAAAAGGAAAGAGGTAAAAAGATGAGATTACTCACACACACAACTAAAAGAGTGAGGGCAAATTGGATCTCTACAAACTGATGGAGATAGATCAAGTGAAGTATTTCGATCTTGAAATTCCCAAGCAACTTCATCACAGACGCCATTATTCATCCTCATACCTAATCTCGTTGTGAGCCCTCCGGTGATATTCTATCCTTCCTTTTCCAGTCCATCATTTCACATCCTTCCACTTGCCCTCGTCTCTTCTCGACAGAGAGACCTTATCTCTGCCTGGAACATATAAATCGATTCGAAGGCTCAGCATGCAGATTTTGCTCAAGGTTGAAATTGAACCAAAGGCCCCTCATGACCAGATGCTATCCAGGCCTTGAGCTGGAATTCTGGACTCCTCTCGGCAAGACTTCCAAGACCAGCACAGCAATCCGGAGAGAGCCTAACATGATTTTCAGGAAGACGCAGATCCTATCTAAACACCGTTCGCGCGATGATCAAAGACATTTCTACCCAAGCCATACCCTCGCAACAAACGTCCTCGGACCGACACTGGACGAGCGGAATGCAGCCTGTGAAAGCTTGTTGCCCATTCGTTGGCTGTCTGGGCTTTCATCACAGTTATCTCAAGCAAACGCCCAGGCTCGAACTTGATCGGATGAGGATAACACCGCTGGTCATTTTGAATCGTATAAATTGGAGTGTCAACGATCGTTCCTTCAGGAAACTGGTACCCGTCGACACTGACGCCATCCGCCAGCTCGCGACGCGTGGGGATACCTGCAAATTGCGGAAGCAGACGAAGGGCTTCGGTGGTACAAGCGCGCAGGAAGGTGCAGGAGTTCAGCTGGTTTCCCATGCAGATGTCTTCCTTTTACTTGAAACAAGAGCGGATTTATTCGGTGACCTTGTCCAAGAGTTCCCAATTGCGAACGAGGTGGAAGATGGTAGCACCCATTGCAACGGTGATGATATTGGAGCCTGATTGGGTACCAGCCGAGTGATTGACAAATCCTGAGAGTTTCAGTGTACCATACCTGCAACAATCAACTGCAAGGATTCTGTCGACAGCTCTCTCTTGCTGAATGGCTGATCGGCTTTGGGGTCTTTAGCACTCAGCATACAGTGAAAACATTCTATTTGGGAGAAGTCATTTCCTCATCTGGTCTGAGCCGTGGCTTGCTGTTTGATTCAATCTCCAAAGGTCTTGATTGGGAAGAGGAGACTCGCAAAGAAGATGCGACCAAGCTTGTACAGCCATAACTTTGATTGAACAAAGCACTGCAACGTTTGGTCAGACAGAGATGATAAATTCGAAGGCATACAACTTACGACTTCATTCCGGTGACTGTGTGCTGTGGTGATCTTGGTGAAAGAACCAAACTTGTCTGATCGAGACATATCAGAGCTCTTGCCATGGCACCTGGGCAAAGATCGCTGATTACGTCAAAGGCAACATAGTCAGAAAGAGCTACAAGGTCTTTGACTCCCCAGCACTTCTTCGAACCGACAATATTGCTACGAGGTGTAGGTGTCCGTTTCGCCTTGTCACCAACGAGGATGTCACAGAATTTCTTTGTGTGGCGTAAGATTTCATCCTCTGCCCTTTCAAAGCCAATGTGAGGAAGACTTGAGAAGATATTCTTTTCTCGAGGGCATGCGCCTTCTTATCGATGCTGCTAATGATATTGGAAGCAGACAAGCTCGCGCTCATAACCAGATACGCTCGTCTTTCGAATGTTTGCCGTTGTCGAGTAGATCGTGGGCATACCAGTATTTGCGTTCACAGATATGGAGTCCGGACTGAATCGAACAACGTCACCTTCATTCAGTCAATGTCGATAATATTATATTTCAAAGTCGCGCGATACTCTATAACGCCGTATCTCCAATGCGCACCCCACAGTATGACATGGGAATCACCTCTCCAGACAACCAGCGCAGCATACCCATTTGTAATGGCGGCCTGCCATGGGCCCAGTGATTTGGCAAGCGGGTGCAATCGAAGCCTGTGCGAAACCCTATAGAATATCTGATTACGGAGTACCCCGTACCTCACGGTGTTTCCATAAGCAACTTCATGCACGCCCTAGGGAGTGAATCTGACCTATGTACGTAGAAAATGACCACTAGCCTTATACAGATTAGCACGAGCATTCCTGCAATGAACCCGGAGTATGACTGGAGTCACTGCAGAAAATTCTTGAATTATCACTCCAAAATCAAGACCCGATGCTCCCAATACATGACGGCTCCGAGTACGGAGTATGATCCCACTGTAAGGAGGGGAGAAGTGATTGGATACATCGAAATTACAGCTTGTGATGGATACTAGCTGATACAATACGGATTTCAACAAGGTTTCGAATTCGATAGCCGCGCCAAGCCTATGATCATCAGGGACCGATCGCTTCAGAGCTGCACTGTGAGAAGTCTCGGACAAGACTGAGCCAATGACAGGCTGCAGTTTCGCGGCATGTCAGTGCAAACACAGATTGGGGGTAGCTGAAAGATGAACCCCCTTACAGAATCTAATTTCCGCCCACGCTCCCGATGCGTAGGAAACATTGTGGGATCTTGGAAAGATCGCTCACTGTTACAAGTCCGATACAAGTACGGGGCAGCCGGGGAGATCCCCCTGGGGCCCCACTCTTTTTGTGATCTATACCACCTGTGCCGAGACCATCTGCACAGAGAACTCGTATTGTACATAGCACAGAATTTATGGGTGGAGTAACTAGAGGATGATTACTCATACTCTGCGGAGTACCCGAAAGCGGGAGTAAGAACTTGATGGTTCTAAGCTCTGTAGATCTAGGTGATGTGTCTCCAGAAAGTTTTTTTTTTAACTCACTAGACATGCCAGGGGCTGTGAACCTAATTCAATCCATACTACTCCGTATCGTACGGAATACTCAATACGGCAAAAAAGTGCATAGATCACTCCATGTTTAATTCCTATTTTAAATTACATTCAATGTTTCTTTCGTAATTCTTTTTAGACGTGAATTTTCGTGTCGGTTAATTTATCGTTGGAAGCACGGAGTACTCCTGTGTAGTACATTATATCTAAGCCAAAGACCCCAAGGTTGTCCCGCAAATAATCATTAGTTGATGTTGCTTCTCGAGTTGAATTGTCGAAACCTCAATCTTCCGTCATGAATAGCACCAATACCACCGGTACTGTTCACCTGGGCCTACCTCCTTTGCATCTCTTCTCCTTTCCTCCCAGCCAACCACTAAAAACAAAATTACCACTTCCCCCCACGGCCCCGACGACTTCCAAGCTCTTGCGACCGATTTCCATCAACCCTACGATTTTCGACTTGTCCTTGGATCTTCAGTATCCTCTCACATTTGCGGTGATATACCTCTCTCTTGTCTTATTTCTCAACCGAATCAATGCAAGCCGCGGGTACAAACCATGGGGATTTACCAAAACATCTACATTCCGAGCACTGGTCGTGCTTCACAACGCCTTGCTCGGCCTGTATTCCGCGTGGACTTTCTATGGGATTTGCTACACAGTAAAAAGTTGCTGGCCACATGATGGACCAGATTACTACACACAGCTAGCAGAAGCAATGTGCGGCACTGATTCAAAGGCAGCTCGTGGTGAGTTGGAGTATTGAGTACTCTTCCGCTGAGCAGGAAAAATTAATGTTTTCGTTAGTGCTATCGCCAGCAAACATGAACACCATTTGGGATGAAGGAGCCGCCTATATTGGTTGGATTTTCTACATATCCAAATTTTACGAGATCCTCGATACAATGATCATTCTAGCAAGCGGCAAGAAGAGCTCTGTTTTGCAAACTTATCACCACGCTGGTGTAATTTTGTGCGGATGGGCTTCTATGAAATACGAGTCTCCCGGCTATTTGGTCGGAATTGTGCTCAATTCTGGCATTCATGCATTGATGGTACGAAACCCCTATTTTTGTGGCGCAACACCCCAATTTGTTCAGATGTGCTAACCTGCAATCCTCTTGTCTTGCTTTCTAGTATTCCTACTTTACCTTTCAATCCCTTGGATTCAAAATCCCCATGATCGTCAAACGTTCCTTGACTAGCCTCCAAATCGCCCAATTCTTGACCGGCTTTGTTTGGGCCTGCTCTTATCTTTTTGTGAAATACACCGTACCCTTCGATTTCGCGGCCTTGCAGACGACAGATCTGCACTCCCTCATGGATACCAACCTCGCTGCCATGAGGAGCCCTGTCTCTTGTCTGAATGACAGCGGAGAGGCGTTCCCGATCCTGTTCACATGCGCGTATCTTCTGCCTTTAATATTGCTTTTTGTCCGATTTTTCTTGGCTTCCTACACCAAGCAAAAGAGAACTTGAAGGGAATCCGCCATCAAAGGACAGTGATAACGAATCATTGCATTGGTTCGTTCATGTGTTACATCGCACCACCAAGAACCTCAAAGTTTTGCATTTCAAAAAGAGATCTCGCTTCATTTCCTGGAACATATTTGGCGATTTCATGATATAAAATAGTCGAGGAGCAAAAGACAGATAACAATTTAATCTTTATGGCGTTATATCCTATTCTGAGAACCACATGCAGCAAAATGTGAAACCACTAAAGGAATAACCACAAACGACCAGGAACCACCAGGGTATTTGATATGTCAGATAGAGCTCTATAAAGAAAAGTGATAAGCACTCCTGTCGCATGAAATCACACGGGAAACCCACCATTTATATTCATTTCTCCACGAAAGCATGCTCAATCTTGCCCTCGTCCGCGATATGATTGTAGGGTCGATCATAACGATTTTCCATATCCTCGTTATGCTTCCTGACGTCTTCAGGCAGATCCTCGTGTTTCTTGCCCTCCATATCGGCTAGGTTCGACTGTCTACCATCTCGAAGAGTCGGGTGGGCCTTGTTGCTGGGAATCGGGTGGTTTGGTGTGTTCTTCAGGTCGCATTCTTCTTGTGAATCATGTTCATTTGCTTGGGAATACTTTTGGGTGGTATCGTGGACGTAACATCGTTGGTTAAGCGCGTTGATCGGTTTGCGACCGAGGGTTTTGAGGGAAATAGGCTTGCGCAAAAGGGACGTAGTTCGCAAGACAGTTTTCATTTTGAATCAAAACTTGGAGAGACCAGAAAAGTCCAAACAGAAAGGATAAGGGCAAGTGAACAGTCTGAAAACGGTGGAAAGGAAACACTTCTACCTCAATTTGAAGCATTTGATACAAATCAGGTTTGTTATAGTTAATTTCTATGCGAAGTTGGCAGCGATGACGTATTAGCACCGAGACTGTGTCCAGGCACTTGATTAATGCCCAATTTTTGTGCTATGCAATTCATATGCTTCAAGTCATTGTAGAATGTGACCTTCATAGGTCTGCATATCTCACAATGTTCATTTGTCAGTCGGTGGCTAAAATAACAACAAACCGATCGAAAGCGGCGCAGCCATCACGGAAACAGACTTGGCCGACCCCATCCTCGTCTATGCAAGGACCCGAGTGGCTGATGAGTTACCCCACCTCAGCCTTAAGCCGCTCAAAGACAAAGGATTGACATGCCAGCTTACACCCAGATATGGAGCGCGAAGTACTCGGTAGGATAATTCTAGAACGAGATCCCAAGACCGATGTTCCGAGGCTGCTCCGACAACCCGGTAGATAACAGGAACAAACGATAAGTAAGGCCTCAAACTTGGCTTTGTTCTAGGTTGATGACTGAGAGGGAGAAATTGAAGAAGTTTCTTCTAACATTTCACTTTGCCAGTGAATGTGATCACAGTCAGCCAAAAGGAGCTCGAGATTTGGCGTTGTTCAACACCCTAGACCCATATCAAACATTTTATTTCGTGGAGAAGGTGAGCCCCGAGTTTGCCTTCCCGTAAGAAGAAAATGGTACTCGTTTCATATTGTCTTTTTTCATGATTCATCGGCCGGCTGATAATTTCAAGGATCGCTATATTAAACCTAGCCACGATCCCTATAATGTTAGTAGATTCGCACATTCTGACTGCATAAAACCAAATGCCATCATTTTAAGGGGTGCATAAATCACGGCCTTTCAAAAGGCTTCCCCTAGGTTTACCGACTACTTCAAACCATGGTCAAAATGAACTGAATACGCCTCTACTTAAGTAGTACTTAGTGATAATAGTTGAACATAGTAATGCGATTCTGTCGACAGAAAGTATGCCCCTGAACATATGGAGTACCCATCCCTCTTATTCCGTGTCAGCACAGCACAATCTTAATAAGACCGCTGAACTATATCGCGAAGAGGAGTTTCTGTTTTGGGATTCTTGATGAGTAATTGTACCAAACAGGGTCCATTTAATCTAAAATCTCAGGGTCTGAACCCGCTGTGGCTTCTTTAGCGCAGTTTTGGGAGTTCTGAAACATCGTTCAATTAAAGGAATGATTGGGCGGTTAGCTTCAGCATTGTTTGGCAAATATAGATTCATACTCGAACATAGGGTTGTATGCATAATTAATATTCATCTGATTCCATATAAATACCCAGAGGAGTCTGCCTGTTGATGTCTGTGAGAAGCATCAGCATCGACTTTGAAAGCAGTTCCACCCGCACCCAAACTCTGATAACTCGACACCATAACACCGGTCTTTTTCACCATGTTTCGCAGCACCACCATTCTAGCATTGCTCAGTGTCACCCAAGCACACACAGTCGCCTGGACCAAAGGCATGTACTGCCTGGGAGGACCCGATCTATCCACCGAAGACCTCAACACAAACACTGCAGTGGCGCCCTTATACGACCTTGCCAAGGAGGACTGGTGGTTCCAACACGACCGAGGATGCGATGTAGCGCCTCCCGCAGAAGGTGACATTCTCGAACTTCCCGCTGGCGGGAAGTTCACCGTAGAGCTAGCCCATAACCGGGCACAGACGACTCTTTCCTATGATGGGCAATTCACTTCTGCCTGGCCAGATGGAAAAGATCACCCTGAAGACTGGTCCGGACCAGGAAACCCCCCAGACTGTATCCAGGACGATGGTGCGATGCATACCAACAACCAATCCACTGCTGCCGGTACTGCATTTGCTATCAGCTACCAGTCGAATATGGCCGATGTCACTATCGAGAACCTGGCGGTCTTCACAGTTTTGGAGCAGTATGTATTCTTCAAGGGCTGACCAGGATGAAAGGAAAATGTCCTAACATACTACCAGTACACCTTGGAAACGCATCGCTACCTACGAAGTTCCTGCAGATCTGCCCCCTTGTCCCGAGGGAGGATGCACTTGTGCTTGGCTCTGGGTATGCATTTGTCAATTTTTCACACTTCATTTCCGACACTAACTCTCCTTTCATCCTAGGCCCCGAATGGATGTGGACAGCCGAATATGTGAGTGCTTGTACAAGAGGGGTTGAGTATAACCTGGGTCTAATCGATTCAAATCCAGGTATATGGCCGGCTACAAATGCAATGTCACCGGGTCAAGTTCGACAAAGAAGATCGCTTCTGCTAAGGCCGCCACATATTGCGAGGACGATACGACAAAGTGTGTTGCGGGTGCAAAGCAAATGATCGCATTCAATCGTATGAAATCCAGGTCTTCGCCGACATTTGAGAACATCGCTGATTGCATCAAATAGAAAAAACTGGAAACAATGTTGTTGTGCCAGATGGGAAGACCCCAATGTACAACACTGCCTGGGGCTGGAAAAACGGTGAGCTTGAACGCCCCAGAGTACTTTTTGTTCGGATGTATCGCTCTAACACTGCTGTTGACAGGCGCTCAAAATGACATTTTTGTTTGAGATCCAACGAAAGGAAAATGGTGGACTTTTTTGCGTCGGTCTGAGGTAGCCAGCACCAGGATGATCAACAAATTGCAGGAAGCATATTCTGAAAATGAGTTCTCCGGTGCAAAAAAGTTGCTCCGGCTGTGTTGAGAAGAAACATGCGAGCAGGAGGTTCTGCTTGGATAGAGGAACAGAGTATGTAAATTTTCACCCCTGGAGCTCAGTATTTTCATGCATGTTGCCAGAGTTTCACTTACTTCTCACTTCCCTTGTCTTGGACAATACATTTCTAAAGTTCATCCTTTCGTAGTTGTTGCGTATTGTTTTATTCCCAATGAGGGCGCGGCGATGACATCACCGTGTTAACTTAATAGAGCCATTCAACTTTATACAACTGTCATATTTCAAAGTGAACGATCATCAGACTGCTCATCTTTTTATATTCCAGCAATCTTCCGACACAGCTTATTGAGCCATAGCCATGAGTATTATGCAGATGCCCTTGATGGGTAAGTTTTCACTACCCTTGTTGATATCTCCATATGGGCATACTTTGAACGGGTTCTGTTGCTTTTGACGACCTTTTGTCTGGATGACAGCTCAAATCTGTGTCTGCGTATCTTTCCATATCATGTATCTGCCCACTGTGATTTATCGACGCCCGCTTGAAATGCCTGTCTCGAAGACAAGTTGCAACTGACACATCGATAGATTTTTCTCCGACTAGGAGTGACTCCAGAAAACGGATAAACCCGGAGACCTGGAGCTCCTGTCAGAAGAGCTTCGATTCTAGCATGTACTGGTTTCCACCTGTCGACGAAGATTTCTTCTGGCCCCTGGATACACCTGGAGCCAGAGATGCCTTCTCATCCAAGGTTGCCTCAGGCATTACGATTGGCACCCATTTTCTCGAGGTGAGGTGATTTGGTGGGGATGGCAGCAGGAATGCTCCCAGGACAAACCAGCCCTGAAACACGAAGAGGTCATGGCGTTCTGGAACTCTTATTATCCCCCACTGGTGGTTAAGAAAAACGATGCGCTGGATCGCTGGATCGACGAACACCTGCGAAATTTGGGTCTCGACCCGGAGAGCTTCAAGGAAGGAGAGGAGAAAGACAAGTAGGCCAATGCGAAAAAGGCCAGGACGACAGGGTCAAGTGAGAACTGTTCGCCCAAAGCGGCTATGGGTATAGTTGGTGGTTGTGTGAGCTTTTTGATTGGATTTTGTTTTACATCCATAAGGAGATGGGCTCTTTTACCGGGCACAATATTTCTCCTGCATGTAATACGGACCCGCTGAATGGAAATGATCCAAGTTATTGCTTTAATGCTTTGGTGCTCTGTATCAATCACTCGGAAAAATAGGGGCGGATTAAGTACATTACCGACGTTGTCAGGGCAACATTCCAATGTTCTCCAGTTAGATTGTGCTGACCATCTATGGACTCTTTCTGCTAGCAATAGTTATCGACGACTACACAACTTACTAGTCAGTCACCTGGAATAATTCATCCTATAAAATCAAATCAATTTAAACGTGTAACTCTACTGATACATGGGGCTTTACACCCATGCGACAATGTTTTTGATACCCCCTGAGAGGCAGAGACGCCATTTATCATGATGCGTTGCGCTCAGAAGACCTGGCGCATTTCGGCTTGGGCCTGGAGGCCCCCACACGTCTCCACTATGTCACGGCTTCGTGGGTCTTCATTGTTTTGTTCAAGCAGGTCATGCTATTCATCGCTCACGACCCCGTCATGCGACGACGCCCCCAAAGAGCCTGGCATCGTGTACAACTGGGTTGATGGCGCAGAGACCATTGAACACTATCAACCGGGCGGATACCACCCTGTCATGATTGGCGATGTACTGCACAAGCGATACCAGATTGTTGATAAGTTGGGTTACGGGGGTTATTCGACCGTTTGGCTTGCCCATGATACTAACTTCAAGCAATACGTCGCTTTGAAGGTCGGCATCGCCCTCTCAGGAGACAAATCATCTTCGAGCAATTGCCCAGTGCCCTGGATCATCTAATGAGCATCCAGGTCGTGATGCGATACCTCTCCCTCTTGATGAATTTGAAATCAGCGGCCCAAATGGAACACATCATTGCTATACCATGTCGCCTGCACAATGCAATCTTCGAGAGGTCTCTTTTTCCCGCCTCTTCTCTCTTGAAGTCACTCGTGCTCTATGTTATCGTCTCGCACAAGCCATTGCGTATACACATCTACAGGGCTATGCCCATGGAGGTTTGTCACCACATTCCCTCAAATCCGCAGGTCAATCACTCACCATCAGCCTGAATACGTCTCGATCAGATGTGCATCTGGGCAACATTCTTGTCAAACTGCCTTCTTCACTCGATCAACTCTCGGTTGAACAGTTCTACGAAACATACGATGAGCCTGAAACCTGGGAAATCACCCGTCGAGATGGAAAGCCACTTTCCTCCAATGTCCCAGCAAAAGCAGTCGTCCCTTTGTATCTTGGAAAAGGCGCGGAGAAATTCACTCTATCCGATACTTGCATTATTCTTAGCGATTTTGGCGAATCCTTCAACCCGACCTCAAACTCTCGCAAAGGCGAAGATTGTCACACACCACTCGCGTCACGACCACCCGAAGCGCGTTTTCAACCGAAAGTACCCCTCTCGTTCTCAGCTGACATATGGAGTCTCGGTGCGTGTATCTGGGAGATCCTTGGTATGAGGGTTATCTTCAACAGTGATTGGTACTCGGCAGATGAAGTGACTTGTCAGCACATCGACATACTTGGCCCCTTGCCCCAAAACTGGTGGGAGCAGTGGAGTGAACGAGGTAAGTTCTTTGATGTGAATGGTCGGCCTACGGAGGGTCGCTACGTTTGGCCTCCCATCGAACAGGCCTTTGAGGAAGATATTCAGGAATACAGAAGAAAGCGTCATGTAGGCGAGTATGGCAAGGAGGAAACTGCTGCGATTCTGGATTTGATGCGAAGGATGTTCGCATATCCACCCGAAGATCGACCTACTGCTGAGGAAGTCTTGAAGTCTGAATGAATGGTTAAATGGTGCTTGCCTGAGTTTGAGAAGAGCTTGCGTCCAAGCAGAGCATTCAGTATCTCGCTTTACCACTCTCCCCAAGTTGGATTGATCGCCTTGCCTCCCCTGCAGTGCAAACTTGTTATATTTTCGAACTTTTGATTGCTTCAATTGGAAAAAGTGTCCCAAAGTGATCCTGCCAAGTCCCCAGCTGCACCTTTTCCATCCGAATCGGAACCCTGGCCTGACTGCTGGGCGCCAGGCGGCGCCTCCAGCTCAAGAGCATCGTCCTCTGGCTCTTCATCCGTCGTAATACCTTTGAGCCTCGGAATGAGATCAATGTCACCACTAACCTCCACTTTCTTCTTGTCATCTAGCCCCCTGAAGACCATCTCAACAACGATCTGCCACCTAATTGACATATTGTATGTTTTGAAAGTTGGAATACAAGAGTGTGGAACTTTAAAGGCCACTTCGCATGGCGCAATCTGATACGACTTGTTGTCCTCCGCAGATTTGAATAGATGTTTCGTTGTCCACGTCTTCGTCGCAGCCGCACTTCCCGGGCACTTGAGCGCACAAGTCCCGCCAAGTATGGACTTGCCACGAACACCTGCGACGTCACATAGGTTGGCTGTGACTCGATGAAGAGAAAATGGCGGCATATCCAGACCGTAGTACGCCCTTGATGGCTGCAGTTGAATGGATATTTGGATATCCTCGCCAATGATAGCCTGCCTCGGGATCTTGACTTCAGGCGCAAGGAATACCATTGGGTAGTAATGAAGTTTACTCCTCACGTACCATCGGAATGACTTTTTCTCTGGGCCGCTCTTCCTTTCGATAAAGAGTTGCCCGTTAATGGTTTGCTTGGCTTCGCTGAGCCTTTGGACCTCATCGGCGGTCACAGCAGGCCCTGAGATATACACTGGCTCCGGGTATGACTCTTTCTTCGCGACTTGGCCACCTTGGACTTGCGATTCATACGAAGCAGTCGCTGTCACCATGTACTTGATATAGCCTGAAACAGGAGAGGAATCTCCAGTCTGCCGCCGGGGCAAGGTCATAGATGGAGGCAAGCGATGGCCACCTTCGTTCTCAAATTTCGTATCAATGCTCGGCCAAGATAATTTCCAAAACGAGATGTCGTCAGTTATTTTCTTTGCCGTCTCAGAGGGATCTGCTTCCACAGAAGTCGGTATTGACAAGGAGAATCTTGCGATCTGGGAATCCGTGAAGTCTGATGCTTCGAGACGGCTCGTTTGGTACAATAACAACGCATGGCACTTGTTGCTGGCGATAGTAGATCTACCACGTCCTTGCAAGGAAACTACCAGCGAGTCACCGCTTTTCGCTGGTTTCCATCCACAAACACTACCCGTGATGTTATCTCCAGGAGCATAACGGCGGTTTGGATGGTCAAGATTCACATCTAGATCGGCAATGCCAATCGATGCCACGGACTCGGCTGGTGAACTCATTTCAATCTGCTGTTGCAGAAGTCGATTGCTTAGTCGGAGGATTTTTGAAAGAGAAATTCCGATCACGGCGTGCTGCCAGGAGAAATCACCAGGGCAAAGGGCTAAGCCTTTGGCCCCCGGTTTCCATGGCAGATCTTACTACATTGGGAATAGATCAAGCTTCTGCCACTGAGAGCAGTCGTAAGCACGCAGCAAACGCTAGTGAGTTAGTAGTCGGGTGAGTGATCTGTCGCAGATTAAGCACAAGGATTGAAAAAAAGACAACAGTTGAAGTTGTTCAAGTGCAGTACCTTGTAGCTTGTAAAGTCTCTGGGGCCTGAATGGTGCCTTGATACCTTGGTGCCTTAAATTGCAGGAGCTCAGACATGCATATGAATAGATGTGCTACGAGTATCTTCGACCAGGGAGATTCGTAAAAGAGAAATAAATTCGATATTGGGTATCATGCCTCAATGAATTATATATAAGCCACCAAGTGGCAATGTGGTCGAATGACCTTTTGGGGGTATTTACAACCAAGGGACGAACTGGTCCCGAGGCTGGACGTAGATTCAAAATATGACACGTCAAAATGCGAACCAGAAGACCATCGTCTTACATGGCTTGCTTGCCTTGTGTTTCGATGGGCAAGAAACACATAGCAACAAAGGAAGCCAGAATCAAAGCACCAGCCGCGTAAATGGGTCCGAGAGGATCGGTACTAGCGTAGATACCAATGATGGGAGCCATGAGACCCGCAATACGGTTCAGACAGCTGGCAATTCCAGATCCGGTACCTCTGTTTGGTGCAGGGAAGACCTCGGGTGTGTAGGCGTAGAGCACACCGTACATGATCATCTGGAAGAAGGATTCCAAGCTGGAACAGACGAGCTGGATGTTAGGGTCCTTGGTGGTGGTGAAGCAGAACAGAAGGACACCTGTGATCAGGGTGGATGCTGCCATGGTACCCTTGCGGCCGATGTACTTGAGGTCAACCAAGTACCAGCCAAGGAGGGGACCGGGAATACCGCAGACTGCTGTGATGGCGTAGTTGCGGTAGGTGATGTAAGTGGTGGAGTTGGCGCTGAGGTATTGGGGAAGGAAGGCGTTGAACAAGGTGTAGCCCATTCCAATACATGTCCAGCAGAACCAGATCAGGATGGCTTTGAATGATGTTAGTCGGTGGATATGGTTAGGTCAAGAAATATTGACTTACTCGAGATAGCAAGGCGTCTGGTGGCGAACAACGGCTTGATCTGTTGGACGGAGAATCTCTCCAGGGACCTCTTGACAATATCAACGGTGGACAAAGCATTCTTGTCCTTGGTCTCCTCGGGGTATCCACCAATCTCGTTCAGGATATCCTCGGTCAGCCAGGTGGTGGTCTTGTTCTTGTGGGCAATTCCGTGAACGGCAGCGACGGCTTCCTGCTGACGACCGCGAGAGACCAGGAACTTGGGTGACTCGTAGAGCGTGAAGAGGAAGAATCGGCAAAGGAACATGGCGAAGGTGATGGCACCCAGGGTCAGAACAAGATATCTCCATCCCCAGTTGTCAGCCCTGGTGCAGTTCTCATAGCTTTCACAGGAAAAGGTCGGAATGTAGGCCCAGGCGAGCATACTGAACATGACATTAGCTTGAAAATTCACAAGAGACCGTGAAAACAAACCTGGCAATCAAAGTACCGACTGACCACCAGGTGGCCAGTCCACTGAGGATCTGAGTTGAGTTGGGAGGTAAACATTCCAAGAACACGGCGGCGTCGACTGGCAGATTTCCACCAACACCAAGACCCAAACACGCGTACAAGGCACATGTGCTGTTTTCAAAGTCAATGACTATTCTTGCGTCTAGGATCTGTCAAATAACTCACCCAACCCAGTTAGGACCACCTCCAGCGGCGAGACCAAAGGTACCGCAAATACAAAGAGTCATGTTAAAAGCTGGACGACGTCCAATAGCATCGGAAGCAATTCCCCAGAAAGAAGCACCAACAATCAGACCGACAAAGAGGGCACATGTGGCAAAACGAGACTCATTCTCAGAGACACCGAATTCCATAGCGATGGGGCTCAGTGTGAGAGCAACTCCCTATATTTGATTAGCCTGCAAGTCGCTTCTACATCACAAAGTGTGTAATACCTGTAACCAAAGGCTACAATATCATTTGATTAGCGAAATTGAGCGGACCACAAAAAAAAGGACGAATGCTCACTTGTCTGCAACCCAACCCATTCCACAAAGAACGAAGAGACCCCATTGGTAGCGGCCCATTCCAATGTCCTGGACGGCTCTGTTAATGACCTTCGCTTTGCCTGTAAATCAATGTTAGACTCGGCACCCAAATGAGTGGTCAGGCGATATCAAAATGCCGTTCCCTGATAGTTGGCCCAATGGCCATGAGAACGTACGATCGTAAGCAGTGTCATGGCCAGAAGCAACAATGTCGGCTTCGATCTCTGCTCTGAGAGCTTCGAGGGTCAGTGTGTTACTTGTTTGCGCACCGGCATTTTTCTCGTCAGATGCTGGCTGGTCGAGGCCGCTGCTGGAGTCAGCGTCCTGGGCGTCCTTTGTTGTCGCTGAGCCGCGGGCCAAGGGGACCACGACCTCGGGGAATTGACCCCGCTCCTTGTTGGAGAAGAATTCTTTCAGGTTAGGCATAATGGCGGGGATTTCGATGTCGCAAGAGGGCAGCTGTTAGATCCAGTGGATCGAGTCGCTAGGCAAGATGAGTGATTGGCGCAACGGAGACACCTGAGTAAAAAGGTCTGATCTATCGGTTCGCTTGGGGTATATCGTGCACAAGTCTATATCGGAATATTGGCGCAATGGAAAGTCGAAGGTGCAAGGGCTGATTTAATCTGAATCGCAAGGCAGTTGAATCGCAAGGCAGTTCCAGGTGCGCAATGGAATTGTGGAACTCGGTATCGTAGTTGGCGCAACGGGATAGAATGCAACTAAATGCTGCTACTTCAGAACCTTGAACGTGCGAGTTGATATCGAGTTTCTTTGTCAAACGTCAACTATGTAGTTGAAATTAGTATCCCGGGGAGTATCGACCGAATGTCGAGCCGATTCGGAGGATATTCGCAGGCGAAGGGTGAAAGGAGGAAACCACGAATGAACCGGATTGAGCGTCGGACTCTCAACAAAAGGGGAACCCGCTGTTTATACTCGAACAAAACCCTCCGGAAAAACTCTCACGTTACTACACTAAAAAGTACCTTGTATGAAGCCGGCTGGACAGAAGTGGAAAGAGTGGATCATCCTGACGCATTGGGCCAACCATGTTGACTCCATGTGGCTGACCGAGGCTAAGTGGGGCTATTCCAGCCACTGGCGTCGGTGCGTCAGCCAAAATCGCCCCCATCTAGACCCGCCGCGCTATACCCGATTTAGTAGGACGATTGAGATCCGTCTTCGGTCAGACGCCAAGACCACTAAGCGAGAACAAGTTCAAATTTCCCCGTTCAGTTTTCCCTCCAAAGATCCGGTTTTATTTCCTCGAACGGGCCGCTCTATATGTACGAGTACTCGCACTGAGAACATTTTGATATCACTTTTTGACACATATCTTCTCCAAATAAAATATTACATTGTCATGCACAACTAGATTTTCATATGCAAAACGCCTAGACGCCACCCGCCCGTGCTCGGCACAGGTCCGGAAGGCTTCCCGTTGGCGTCGGGAAATCCAGCACTCGGGTAAACCACGCAATCATTGTACTCGTACGAGTATACGAACTTTTCTTTTCCACAACCAATTGGTCTATCTCAGTTCAAATTGTGGATAGCATTTATGCTGGGAAATTATCTTTTACAAACAGCTCCAAGTTCCCCTGAAAGTACGAGTATTGTACTACAGTAGTCAACTCCGTACGACGGAGTACAATGTAGAACCTCCAGATCCGATCGCCGATTTCCGGCCATCACGCGACAATATGGCCCCAAGGTGACCTCGGACATGCAATTGACTTAGGTAACTTGAATCATGGTTGGTTCAACCAAATGCACCACAGATCAGGCCACTCGCACTCAGACCACTTTGGTTCCCCGTGGAGTAAAATAATATACGGAGTACACTTGAATACCCACATGGCACACCCCCGGGGACTGTCAGTAGCTTCCTGAAGGTCTTTGATCCGCTCGCCACTTGATACCGAACTAGGCAGTCCTTTGCACGAGGCTATTGTCAAATCGGGACTGGAGACCCTTCTCTTTGATGACTGATAATTTGGCGCTTTGCTCGCAAAGTCTTTTTATCACGACATTTGATGTCACTCGCTCTAGTTATCAGGGTCCACAGATGACTTTCATCCACGAGATGCCGATTGGTTCAATGTTGGCTTGGAACAGGATCTATGAATCTATGAACTCATATTACTAATGATGGAAAAAAGGGAAAGGAACTCAATGATCAATATACACACCGCTGAGCTCTCAACTCAACCAACATTCAAGTGATGTGAAAGTGAATGTTTGACAGAAGACCTGCGCTCTGGATTGGACATTGAGAAGTCCAAATAGTCCCAATATACTGCCCCCCCCCCCCCCCCCCCCCCCCCCCCCCCCCCCCCCCCCCCCCCCCACCCCCCCCCCCCCCCCCCCACACACCCACACCTCCAATTAAATAACTCAAACACCAC